ATACATATATTGTATATATACACTACTACATGCCAGACCTCATGATGGGTGCTAAAAATATGCTGGAATCTTAGTTTGAGTTCCCACAGAAGCAGACCCTGAGACAACGTTTCAAGGACAAGTAGTTTATTTGGTAAGTGATCCCAGAAAATACTTGTAATTAGGAAAATGAGTCAGGGAAAGATCATAATCATATTTGTACCTTTGAAAGACTAATGAGTCTGCTGAGGAGAATGGACATTGAGAAAGTAATTCTGGCTGAGGCTAGCTGTACATGCGTAGAAAGACAAGGATGGATTCAGTGGAGAAGAGGAAGAAGTCCTGATTTGCTGAATATGGGAGTAAGAGAAAGGAAAGCATCAAGGGTTGCATCCCCAGCAGGAAGAGGATAGTGGTGGCCATTTCCTGAGATGGGCAATGAGGGAGAAGAACTTCTTTTGGGGGCAATTCTTAGACTGGCCCCACTGAGAAACACTAGTTTATACTACAAACTCTTGAATCAGCCCTAAGTTTAAGAAGTCAGGGAGATACCTCAACAAAGATATCGGTAGGTAGTTGTATCATACTCAGCAGCTCAGATGAGCACGTTGGGGATTCCCTAGAGATAGTGATATTCAAAGCCACAGGGTGGGATGCATACATCCAGAGAGAACAGAGGGAAAGAAAACAGAGGCTGGGAAAGAACTCTGAAGAAAGTCATCCTCTAACATAAGGACAGATGACTAGGACCCTGAAAAGGACCACTATCTTCATTAAGCATTTTACATATTGAACCATTTGCATAATGGTTGTGTAATTCCACCAACATTAAATTTCAAATCTCATAGACGAGAAACTAAATGGTACCACTCTGTGCCAGGCAACATTTTTAAGGTTTTTTTTTTTTAACATTATTACAGTATTTTAGTAATCCATGCCCCTCATCTTTTCTCTTGATCTTCTATTTTATAGTCTATTCCAGTTTTTTCCTCTATCAAATCCCATTTCATTTCTTTTTTAAGTATTTTCTTTTCTTTTAAGTATTTTCCTCAACTTAAGAAGAAAAAGCTCCTTTTGTCAACAGTTTGCTAATAAGACAAGCATGGTTTTTCTTTATTGGAGTTATTGCGTTCTGATCAAGTATGGGGGCTTGTTTCACCCTGTGCCAGCTTCACCAAGAACCTGGCTTACAAGAAATGAACTTCAAAATGAATTGAAGCCAAGTGCTGGGCTGCTGCATCAGTTGTGCCTGGCAACAGCCCAGAATCATCTTCAATCGCACAAAGGGAGGGGCAGTATCAATGAGGTTTCATCAGGCTCTAAGGCTGGCAGTAGGATTCTCCGGGTTGATACAGTGATGTAGTATATTTTATCAATCAGCAGAACACTGGAAGACACCAGAAACTTTCTACTTTACTAACCCAATAAAGTAGAGGGTCAGAACCTGTTAACCTTCAAAGTTAGGACTCAGCACTACGTTTCATAACTCTTGTTAATTAATAAAAATTAAAAATCAGTGTTAGGACTAAAACAAAATTGGAAAAAGGAAGTTAGTAGATTAGCTGTCAGTGACTAACAAGCATTGCTCTAAAACAGGAAGCTTTCCTCACTGGATCCTTCCCAGTGGAATTCATGTCTGGTAAATGTAGTTTCACTGAAGACAATCCACAAATGTAAAGCCTTGTAGAGAAAGGTGATCTATACACTAGAGAGAATATTGGCTACTTGCATGGCTGTGCAAATTGTGCACTGCACCTAAGGGAGAGCTAATCACATCATAGGCATTGAATATTATGCCATGTACTTAAATGATCAGTAATGACGGTAGTAAAGTGTTTGTTCTGATAGATTACGTGTTTGACAATAATTTTTTGACAGAAGTGTCTTGAGAAGAAGTGCCTTTCTCCAATTCTCAAAAAGGCACTAAATGGGCCCATGGTGGTCTTAATAACCCACCATAGAAAAGGTTTTATAAATTAAAGTGCTTTCCAAATTTTATCAAGTATTTTGAATGACTTCAAATGATCGAATTTCCATATTAATTCTTGTCACCTTAGGCAAATCATTAACTTTGTGAGACACATTTTCTCTTCTGTAAAATCAGCGGCCCAACCAGGTGATATTCTGTTCCTTTCCATTCTACTGTTTTAAGATTCTCATCATGGAGCAGAAATATCTATAGCTTGTTTGAGCAGCACGGATCCTTGAGGATTCTTCCAAAGGTATCCAAATGATTGAAAAAAAAATCTCTAAGCTAAAATTTCATTAACTTTAACATAAATGTCAGGCAAAATGTTACTGCAGAAGAGGGAAGAACACTAGTTTTGAACATCTATGAGGTACCAGCCTTTCCTTTACATTTGCTCATTCATCTTTATAATCATCCTACAAGTTACTGTTATCCTTATTTTATGGAGAAGAAAATAGCTCATATATCATAGAACCAACCAAATTATTCTTTAGAAGCTCCTAGTATCCACTTTGTCTAGGACAAGGAAAACCGGACAACATAAATATGGATTATATATGGAAGAGACCAAAAGAGACCTGGAAGATGTGAGCATTTAATCTACTATAATGGTAGGGCCAAGGGTTAACAAACTATGGCTCAAGGGCCAAGTTTGCCCGTCACTAGTTTTACTGGAACATAGCCATGCCCATTCATTTATGTAGTCTAGGGCTGATTTCCCACTACAAAGGCAGAAATGAGCAATTATGGCCCCTGCTGGCCTACAAAGCCTAAAATACATAATATGTAGCCCTTTATAGTAAAAGTTTGCTGACCCCTGAGCAAGCCATGTGCTTGTAATTATAACCTACCCATTCATCCCCAGATCTTACCACCATCACCTTCATTTTTGAAAAAAATTTTTGAAGATTTATTTATTTGACAGAGAGAGACACAGTGAAAGAGAGAACACAAGCAGGGGGAGTGAGAGAGGGAGAAACAGGCTCCCCACTGAGCAGGGAGCCCGACGCGGGGCTTGATCCCACGACCCTGGGATCATGACTTGAGCCAAAGGCAGACGTTTGTTTAATGACTGAGCCACTCAGGCGCACCTCATTTCTGAAATTTCTGCTAGAAAACTTATTGAGAGCCAATGAAGTGTGTCATTACATCCATCTTTACTCAAGCTTACTGACATTCCTTTTCTATCACTGACAGTACACTAGCTCTTTAATCCTATCTCCTTTATCATTCATTGTTATTAAGAAGCCAAACCAGTTAATTAAACTGAGCACTCAACACTCTTCCCTCCCTCACCTGACGTGCTAGTTCCCTAGTCCCCACCACATCTGGGCATTATTCCAGATTGGACGTAGAATCAACGTGACACTCCTATTTCCTGACTTCGTTGAACTCAGGGTTGTGGTTAAAAAAAAAAAAATGCCATAACACAAATGTTTTTACTTATTAATATTGATCTACATATATTATTTTTAGACAGGTAGGATGAGGCCTTCATCAACCTAGATCCTTTCCAAATATCGCAGCTGTTTTCTCAACTTCTTTATACCCCGTAATACCTGCTTATTTCAAGGGCAGAATTCGTTCCGTACGAGCCTATGTGTATAGTCCTAGAATGGCAAACAAGGGTTTATTCTGTATTTCAAAAGGAATCTTTAGCTTATATTTTTCCCCAAGGAACAAGAAATTTTTTATTTATAATCATTCTATACCTTTAGAATTCATATCCTACATAATTCACACGAAGTACACAGTTTAGCGATTTTTAGTATATACACAAAGTTGTGACACTGTTACCTCAATCAACTCTACAACATTCTTATCACCCTAAAAAGAAACCCAAATTCATCAGGAATCAGTCCCACTTTCCCCCAAGCCCCCAGCTCTAGGCAGCCACTAATCTATTTTCTCTAAATATAGATTTGACTATCTGGACAATTTCATATAAACGAGATCATACCACACTGTGGACTTTTTGTCTGGCGTCTTTCACTTAGCATAATCTTTTCAAGGTTCCTCCATGTGGTAGCATGTATCAGAACTTCATTTCCCTTTTATTACCAAATAATGTTCCATTGTATGGATATGCCACATTTTGTTTATTCATTTATTCATTGACGGCTTGTTTTGATATTTTGTTATTGTGAATAATGCTGCCATAAACATTTACTTACAAGTTTTCGTGTGGACGTATGTTTTCATTTTTCTTGGGTATGAACCTAAGAGTGGAATTGCTGGCTCCTATGGTAACTCTATGCTTAACTTTTTGAGGAACTTCTGTCTTCCCAAGTGGTGGCATAATTTTGCATTTCCACCAGCAGTTTATGAGGGTTCCAGTTTCTCCACATCCCCGCAAACACTTTCTATCATTTTCATTATTAACTATCCTGATGCGTATGAAGTGGTATCTCATTATACGTTTGATTTGCATTTCCCTGGTAGCTCATGGTGTTCAGCATTTTTTCCATTTGCTTATTGGTTTCGTGTATCTTCTTTGGAGAGCTGTCAATTCACATCCTTAGTCCACTTTTTTAACTGGCCTCTTCATCTGCTTATTAAGCTGCAGTCGTCCTTTATGCAGGTTCCTCCCTTACCTGATTCATGATTTGCAAAAATTTTCTCTCATTCTACGGGTCGTCTTTCTGCTTTCTTGATGGTATCCTTGGAAGCATAGAAGTTTTTAATTCTGACAATGATGTGCAATTTATCTATTTTTTTCCTTCTGTTGCTTGTGCTTTTGGTTTTAATCACTTGAGAAACCATTGCCTAATCCAAGGGCATGAAGACTTCCATCTATGATTTCTTAAGTTTTATGGAGTTTGCTCTTATAACTAGGTCTTTGGTCCATTCTGAGTTCATTTTTATATATGCTGTGAGGAAGGAGTCCAACTTCATCCTTCTGTATGTGGATATTCAGTTGTTCATTTGATGGAAAGACTGTTTTCCTCTATTGAATTGTCTTAGCACCTTTTTCAAAAATCAACTTGACCATAAAGATGAGGATTGTTTCTGGACTCACAATCTATTCCTATTTTTTTTTTTTTTTCATGCTATGGTAAATTGAATTGTTTTCCCAGTATCATTTTTGTTTCATTTACTGATATTATACAGAAACATAATCAATTTTGTACATTACTCTTGTGTTCTGCAACTTTGCTGAATTCACGTATTAGTTCTAATGTTTTCTTAAAGTATTCGTTTGGATTTTCTCTGTATAGGATTATACCATCTGCAAATAGAGATAGTTTTATTTCTTCCCTCCAAATCTGGATGTATTGTATTTCATCTTCTTGCCTAACTGCCCTGGCTAGACCCTCTGGTACAAGTTGAGTAGAAGTGCCAATAGCCTCATTTTCTTGTTTCTGATTTCAAGGGGAAATCTTTCAGTCTTTAAGTAAGTTGTGATGCTATGAGTTTTTCATAGATGTTCTTCATCAGGTTGAAAAAGCTCCTTTCAATTCCTAGTTTGTTGAGTCTTTTTTATTAAAACAGGGTGTTAAATTTTGTTAAATGCTTTTTCTGCCCCAATGAGGTGATCATGTGGACTCTGAATTAATCTTATTTCCTTTTCCAAACACTCAAAACTATAAAAAATGTCATTTACTAGATAAATCATAATTTTACTGAAAAAACATAAAACAGAATTATTGCAAAGGCTTATAGATGGGTAATCTAAGAGTATCTAACTGAATCCATTTGAAAAATACAAAAATATAACTGTGTGAAAAAATTTTTCTTACTAAAAAGATAAAAGTTTATCTGCTGATCATAGGAAAATATATTCTTATAAGAAAAAAGTTGCACAATAAATTAACATACAGCACAATCATCACTTTTGCATACACATGAAAAAATACATGTAGAATTATTAAAGTTTTCTGGTAATTACTGGCATCTCCTGTTCCAGATGTTTTCATATTAAAATAGAGACTTATATTTTAAAAACATCATTGTATTGACTGACTCAAAAAATATCAAGCTTTGTATTTCAAAGTAGCACATTAGCAAGTAGGTTTGTTGCACAAATGTTCAGAGCTGTGTTGCCTGGGAAGATAAAAACAAGATATAATTCTTAATTACAGTTTGATTGTGCTCTGTGTTGTATATATAATGCCTTCTGCTTTAATTCGCTCCAATATTGGTCCATAGATGTCCTTTGAAAAGGGCCCCATCAGGCCTTTAGCTTTAATTTCACCTAGAAGAAAATAAATTTGTAGTTACCATTTTAGAGGTATTATTGAGGTTCATTTCCACAGCAAGAGTCTCCATACCACAAACAGGGAAAGGTGTTAACTGTAGATTGAAAGCAGAGCTGGACTAAGGGATAGTATCAGAATTTGTATTTAACTGTATTAACTATTGCCAAAATGATCAGAGAATCAAGTGTAGTAAGAAAGAAAAGTAAACCTAACTTGTCTGCTTTATTTGCTGATGCTTTAAAAAAAAAAAAAAAGGCAAAACACCAACAGAATGAATTAAAACCAATCTGATTATCTGGGCACAGGCTTTTGTCAAGATGACTGAAACAGAAAGTCTGAGTACTTTCCTTAAAGCCCGTGATGACCTCACCCCTCATCACCTCTTTACTCTGGTTCCTCAATAACTAAGTTATTCAATCATTTAATCAATATAAGGTCATTTAATTTGATATTAGCTGATATGCTATTGTAGATACATTTTTTTCAGTATTTCACATTTAGTTGCCTGATGTTGTTATTCCCCTCACACACTCACAAGGGCCAAATGAAGGATTATACTTAGAGGTAATGCTTAAAAGGTACAGATGACCTCAAGGGGAGAGGGAAGAGTTGAAATTTGAATTCACCTCATTCAAAATATTTATTGAGTGCTGATAACATACTGAGAAATGAAGATTAATAAAACATGGTCCGTATTTCTGGGGATCTGGAAGCAAATACCCTCTGCTCTTTCAGTGTTAGCACCCCTAAAATATGAAGGGAAATGAAGGGAAGAAAGGAAGAGTTACCATTGCCTGGGGCATCATGTATGTGGTAGGAGCTCTATGTATTATTTCATTTCAGCATCACAAAAAAACCCCACAAACTATGAATTTGGATGACAATCCCCATTTTAAAGACAAGGGGGCTCTAGAGCTCAGATATGCTGAGTAACTTGCACTGCCATCTTGTGAATGAACTGAGCCAAAAATGGGCATAACTCTAAAACCCATGGCTTTTACTCACCATCAGGTGACCTTCCAGTCAAGTCAGTACTTAAACTTCTGAGACAGCTCACTTTTAGTGAACACCAGTCTCATACTCAAGAGTAATTATTTGATATCCAGGCACTGAATGACTTGGGGATGAATGGAGACAGAGTCAGATCTCCAAAAAAGAACTTACCATCAAGTAACATTTTGGCTGCCATGGCAGTGGGTAACCCCACAGTTTTAGCCATGGCTGAAAAGCCATTGATGTCTCCATAGACCACAAGATCGATAGTTTTATTTTCCAAATGTCCAGAAGGATGTCTGATTCCAAAACTGTCTCTCATCACAATCATATCTTTCTCTCCAGGGCCTTAAAATGAATAAACAGACATTCTTAAATGTCATTATCATTACAACTCCAATACTGAAATTCATCTGCTCCTACCCTTCTGCTCTCACAAGTTTCTCCTCCCATCATATGTTTCCTTAGACAATTATCTATACTGCTCTTTAGCCCAAAGGCCAAGAGAAAAACTCAAGAAATGGTAACTCTGGCCACGTTCCCTCGTCCAGGTTGGTATCACTGTTGCCTGGCTATAGACATGAAGGTGCCCACTCTTCCCCCCAAAATGTCCCTTCAGCATTTTCCTAATGCATTAAAAATATTTATTTGTTCCTTTCCTATATCCCCCAAGTTCATTCCTACTTGATAGTTCTCTTATTCTTCCCTCAGGAAAAAGAGCCCAAGTGTTCTTTCCCTCCTAGTATACTTCCCCATCCTTACTGGTTGGCTCCAGCCCTCCCCTCATATTCACTAGTGGCGCTGACTGCTTAGGATGCTGCTTCTGGGATGTGTAGCTAATACCCCACAGCCTACCATAGGAGAGTTTCCTGGCCAAATGCTTGGAGAGAGCATCCACCACAGACTCTGCTTGAGGGACTTGTTCATCCCCAAGTAAGCCCAACCTGAAAAGCACAAGAGGTGGCTGTGTTAGGTCAAGTCCTACACAAAATCCCACTTGGGAAGAAGAAGGGAGCTCTTTGGATTTTTATCCTGACAGGGAAGAATCACAAGATGACAGTCCAAGTTATAGGACTCTCCTACACTGTAAATAACAGTACAATAGTAATGTTTTAATCTTTAGAATCATCAGCAGCCCTCCCCCACCCAAAGACAGTGCTCCCTGGAGCTGAACTGACACACTATAAATCCACACTATTGTAAAACTTCTCGTGAGATTAATTTGCAGGTTAGTTCTCCCACATTAAGGAGACCAGCATAATGTGCCATAGCTGTGTGAACGAATATTTTAAAGTAGTTGCAGAAGACTAGGAGACTCTCCTAAGGGAGAGAAAAAAACATCCCATCTTACTTGGGAACTGAGTAGTAAAGTGCCTCAAAATAAGTATTTCCCAAGTTATAACGGCCACTGAAGTTCTCTCTTTATCTACTTTTTATCCCCACATGAACACAGTATATGTGGCAATCTCTCTACAACAGGCCAACATTAGAGCAGCAAATTAATCAAAGACATTGTAAAATGTCTGGTTCTATCTTGACCCTTTTTGACTAGAAAGGACTGAGAAATCATTGATCTTTGTATTGATATTGAAGGAATTCAGTATTTTGCTAAGTCGACTGGTGGGTACCTACCATTCAGCGGCCTCCAGCTGGGTGTTGTCTCTTCCTAGTTTCTCAAAGACAGCTTCCTTGAGCACATCATGCTTGGAGGAGGGGGAAATCCCAACCAGATCACAAAGGAGTTCTTTCTGGTCGTAAAAATAGAGATAAAATTCTCAGTTCCTAATAAATAATCAGTTGAGAAATTATCGTATTAAGACATCTGATCACAAAGGCACCTCAAACTTTAAATTAGAAATGACTAGAAATAGTAACTGTAATACTTACACATATATACACACACGTCTACACACTCACCCATCAATAAATGATATTCCAAACAGTTTTCAGCAATAAAAATGGGTCATAACATGAAACCATTACTGAACAGGTGGCACCATATTTACCATCACATCCTCTCCATTACTTTTTCACCCATTCTCCCTCACCCTCTAGTAGTCCATTTTGGTCAGGATCAAGAGGAAGGGACTCATTGCTACAGTTGCCAGTAGCAACCAGAGTTCTTTTGTAGGTTCAAGAGATGAGAAAGACCTTGCAGATAATAAAACCTCAAAGCAATAACACTTAAGCTATGGTCATAGCTTTTTCTACTTTCTAAATGAGACTTTTTTCCAGGATTTCAAGGGGGAAAGTTATGCTCTTGATTAAAGAAAAACAAACTGGTTCACAGGCCAAATTTGGCTCATCACCTGGTTTTGTAAAGAAAAATTTTATTAGAAGATAGCCATACTCATTTATGTATTTGTCTATGGCAGAATTGAGTACATATGGCTCATGAAACCTAATATATTTACAATCTAGTCCTTTACCCACACACACACACACACACACACACATACAATGTTTGCCAGCTCCTATTCTAAACTGTAGCTACCAAAATACTGCAACCACCCCCTAAGAATACCTGTACAAACCCTCCCAATCCAGCTGCCTCGAACTCGGAATTCACTCTATAGATGTTTATTCACTCCTGTCCAACCTGTATATTTATGGAAGGTAAAAAGATTTGGAAGGCTCTCAGATACATGGAAAACTGAATCTAAAGCAATGGCTAGCAAGAATGCCAAAATTAGCAACACTGATCTTTTTCTCCTTATGGTGAACTGCTGGCATTTCCACTGGAATATGGGCACACTGGTTCAAGTTGGATGACCAACTATTAACAGTTAACAGTAGGGGAAGCTCTGCTTTACATTTAATTCCAAGTCTTCAAAGTCCCTTCCAACCTGGAGACAATACGGGCATCCATTCTGTAACTGAAAACTCAAATTACTCATGGCTAAAAATGACCAACGGAGAGAACTGATGGGATTTGGGGATAGGGAGTCCAGTCTGTGATGCCGCCAATGGCTCTTCTGGGTTATTAGTTGTAGGAGGCCCCAGTGTATCTCCTGTCACTGACTGGGTGACCACTGTGGTGGACAAGTGACAGAGCCCAGAGCCCAAATCCATCTCTTCTCAAGGCTGAGGGAGGGAGCAATCTAGTAGTACACGCTGCTACAGGAAGTAAGCCCAGTGGGTCAGGCCCATGATCTCCCCATCCTTCCACAACAAGGAAAGATAAGGGGTTTGGGAGGGTTAGGGTTTATCTAAGCCACAGGATAGGTACCTTTGCTAGTCCAAACCCAAGTGCAAACCTGAGCATTTCTGAAGAACCGCAAACATGTAATTCTGGAGTCACTCACCCAAGTGAGAGGGCTGGCCTCAGGTCGAAGGGCAGGAAATGCATCTCTATTTATAAGACCCAGTTTTACAAATCCATTCAAAGCTTTGGCATACCCCTAAAACAAGAATTATTAAGTAGAATATGAAATACTTCCCTTCAAAGAAAAAAAATTTAGAAGTTTTATTGAAAAGAAGGACCTGTCCTTGTAATTCATATAAAAGACAGGCTGAAAGTAGTCATCTGACTTGCTTACTGGACGCAAACATCTCAGGTTCAGACCAGAATCAAAAGTGTCACAGCAATTCTGCCGCTTTACGTAACAGCTCTTCAAAGACTCGGATCTTTACTTCTGTTTCTGGGCAACATGGGAGGGGTATTCCTGGCAGCAGAAGTGCAAATGTCCTCCTGTATTATGTACTTCCAGTTCAGCAAAATAGTATTTAATAGAACAGTTCCCTCTCTTATAATGGAAGGAGCTTGTAAGAATATTATACTCCTCCAAACAGATACACTATTCTGCTGATTAGGAGCCACTATCCTAATGCATAGACCAGGCAGGGTAAGAGGTAAGAATCAGAGAGCTTCTTCTGAAATCACATGAATGTGAGGGAGGGGAGTCAACTTGTGACCCTGAGAATGGTGACAGAATCAATTTCTGTTGTTGTAAGCTACATGGTTTGCAGTAATTTGTTAAAACAGCCCTAGGAAACTATTACACTGATTTTCTTAAACTGGTCATACTTGTTACTACTCCTTTGTCATTAATCCTTAAATGTGTGGTGGACATTTGTGCTTATGCTCCAAGAATCTACACCCCATTTTGTGGTAAAAACATTTTAGATTTTCTCTGGGTAAAATGATGCTGACTACATCTTCAGTTTTAGGGACATGAAACAAAACACAAAAGCTAACTGGCATTTTTTATCCCACTGACCTCACGGGCTAATGAGACAAAGATGGTATTTTTAACCATACTTTCTCATTCTCACTGGATTTGAACCAAAGAGACTGGGGATGCTGCCACCACCGTGCCACCACGTAGAGCCTGGGACTGTGGTCAGCACTCAAAGGAAGAGATAAGAGGCAAAGAGAAACCAAGTCTCCATGAGGTCACCTGACCCCAGTCTCACTACACCTGAAGGTGACCCTTCACCTCCCCCGCCCCCGCGGCCCAACTCCTCATTAGTCAAAAGCTCTCTTTTGGCCTTCCTGAGTTGTCTCCTAAAACATTCGCTCAGAAGAGTCCTGAGAAAACAGACTCCAACCTGGTTTATTATCTTATTTTTGTTACCAAGATAAATTAAGCATACATATCACTTACATCAAAACAGGAAACATGTTTCATCTCAAATACAGCTGCTTACCTTGTATCTCAGCGTCCCCCGCAGCAAAGTGTGAGCTGATGGAATGCCATATATCTCAGCGTATTTTGTACTGTCTCTGTTAGGATAGCCTTCCAAATTCAACCCGGGGAAATAATCCATGGGAGTAACCGCATCAAGAAAGGAGATGCCCCCTGCCACATTCACAACCTGAAGAACAATGAAAAGGCACAATGGGGTTACAACACTGTGCTCCCCTGGGGACTTAACCTGGATTACTTGGATAAAAAATAAATCAACATTTTAAAAAAGCAACAGAGGATTTGAGAAAAAAAAGCTAATGAAACTACCATAATTGACATCCCATACTCAAGCTATTTCACTAACGATTCAGAAGGCCATGAATCTCCCAAGGTCTAAAATCGGACTTATATCTGGTAAGATGGTACTGAATTATGTCCCATTAGGGGTTTGCTTTTTAAATAAACAATAAGCTAAAAGAAACAGACACTCATTTAAAAAGCTGTGCTCGGGTAACAGTGGCATCTTCACTTCATTCTTCACTTACACACCCCTCTGAATGTGGTCTGTCGGGCACCAGTCTTGTACATTTCTGTCACAGCTCACATTAACGGGACACCTACCACCTATGTGCCAGGATCACACTCATTGTGGAGGGAAGGAGAGTGATGAAGTTGCAGTCTCTGTCTTCATCCCTTCCTTCATTCACTGAACACACATTTACTGAATGTCCACCAAGCGCCAGCTGGGCTGGAGCAAGCGCGAGCAGCTCGCGGCCTAGACTAGTCAGCCTACAGGTGTACGCTGGGGATGGCAGTGGGAGAGACGTCCCCTTACAGGAAAGACAGCACAGGAACAGACAGCGAAACTCAAAGTTAAGTGCTACCCATGGTCTTACTGCTGCTGAGAAATCAATTCCCAAGCTCTTCTGATTTCTCAGTAATTCTCTGACCCACTCCCTCCCTAATCTCACACTCAAAAGACACACTCAAAGGGAAAAGCATGTTTTTCCCTTTGAGTCTGATGAAAGGACTAAAGTGTTCTTTGGGTGTGTGAGGTTTATGAGATGATGGAAAACATCTTCGTGCGATCAAATCAGGGCTGAGAATCTGGGGGCTGCTGGCAGAACTGGGTTTGTCCCTCCTGCACCACTGGAAACAGCTTCTGACCACGTGTCTGCAGCTGCACAGAACCACCCACGGGAGTCTTCTAGAAGCTCAATCCAATGAGCCCTGGAGCTTATGTATAGATGGGTTCTACGAGTGCCTTTTCCTGAGAAAGGAAAAGGAAAGGGCTGTGGAGGTGGCTGCAGGCCCAGGAGGGGTCAGGCCTTGGTGGCATGTCTGCAGTTAAAGGCTTGGGTTTGCAGAGCATCAAGCCCCACTACAACTCCAGGAGGGAGATGCCAAAGGACGCCAAGGGCTTCTCATTTAACTTTCTTAGGAAACTCCGCTGGACTGCACAGTGAACATTTCCAGAGGTACCATTTCTGCCCTAGTGCTTTCACACTCATCTCTTCTATCAGAATAGTAAAATTAAAAAAAAAAATCTAGTAAGAAGGCAAATATCAACTTTTAGGGCCTCCACACACATCTTACTTCTAGAACTCATAGCAATTCTAAAGTTTGCTTATTTGTTTGTTTTTTTACTTATTAGGAGATAGTTTTAAAGAAAAATTCAGTAGAGACTACTATATTCCAGCACCTCACTAATCAGAAATAAATCAGCTGGTTCATAAGTTTATCATGAGATCCTTGGAAGAAGAGAGGGAAGTATCAGCTGAACAGTAATGATTCGCTTAGAGACTGACAGCTGCCGAAACAACTTGTCCCCCAAATCACTGGGTAATCACTGTCAACTGGCATCAATACAGAGTTCAGTGGTGTATCGTGGGGTTCACGAATAAGCCCGATACTGTTTAATAATTTATTAATGGTTTGGATGAAGAAAGACATATTTATTTATTTGGCAGACTATATGCAGTTTTTTCTGACTCGACAGTGCTTCACTCCCAACACCCACTGTCAGCAGAAACAGTGGCCCATTACCCGCCGCGGCCACAGGCTGCCCTAAGTCCAACTCTTCCCACACCCACACGTCTCCCAGCCACTGACCGACAGTAAGCTCGATTGATAAACTGACAAAACATTTAAATAAAGGAAATGCAGGACTCATTCTGTGCCTGGTGCCTTATATACATTACCTTTAGTTCACACAAACCCATTTTTCAAAGGCGGAAACTGGGAGTCACCTAGAGGAGGATTTGAACCTGGTCTGACTCCAATGTCCATGTTCTTTCTACCAGACCATACTGTCCCCCTAATTGTGCTTATTTGGGTATCAGTATTTTGAGAAGGCTACTCGCTGACCAGGTGTGGCGTTCCAGATCATGACACCAGTGATACACCAGCAAACTGCACTCAAAATGGACCGCAGGCAATGGAGAGCAGCGGCTCTTCCTACAAAGGAGGGCTGGGCACTGCAGTCCGGGTAGGGGCAGGCAATGGGAAGAAAGCTACAAAACCTATCTCAGAGTTGTGTTTTCAGAGCAAGCAGGATCCGGAGAGTATTTGTCTTATGAGGAGTGGCTTGGGAGAGGAGGCTGAAGGAGAGGATGGCAAAGTTCTTGCCATGTCGCTCCTCAGTGCCACCAATGTCCCACTACCCTCGGAGAGGACAGAACTAAAATACGTGGAAGGGAATCCTAGTTGCTAGAAACACCATCAGAAGTTAGAAGTTAAAAATGGTGCCAGCGGCTGGAACAATGAGCTACATCCCAGATCACAGGCCACAGCCTGAGTTGCTGGAAAAGTTTAAGCCTTCAACTTTAAACAGAAACCAGAGAGGTCACCTGACCCTCCATCATGAGTCCCTGAATCATATGCCTGCTCCGTGGTGGGGGTGACGGCGGCAGGGGGATGGACGGACAAGACTACAAGAGAAGCTTTAAGAAGTTTAACTATCTGGGTTGGGAGACAGACGGATGCACTTGAATTACTGAGCGAATAATACAGCATCCGGAAGCTTCTTACAGACATACAAAGTGTAGGAGTCTGGACAAAAGAATAGTGAATGGGGGCTGGAGTGGTCAGGAAAAGCTGCATCCACAAGAGGGAACTTGAGTGGGACCTTGAAAAAAGTATCATTTTAGCAAAGAAAAGCAAAGCATCGCGTTTTCTCTCAGCCTCCTCCGCAGTGTCAGGGAGATGCAAAAAGCATTCCTTTTTTACAAAAGGAGTTTGGGATGAAAGGGAGAAACTTCAAATTCAATACATACAACTTCTGCTGCCTGAAAATAACCTCTTGCTTTTCCTGAGTACTCACCACGATCGATTTCTTTACATAGCTACTTTCTGCTGGAGACTGACGCCCTGCTGGAGAACCCGCTGTTAGGCAGACTGCCATCTATGGGAGCCCAGTGGCCCCACTGCAAGGACCCCACACAGCCTTATCTTCAGACAAGGAACCCAAAGCTAAGAGAGATTCACAGATGGTTCTAGTGCCACCCAGCTGGTCATGGTAGAGTTAGAGCACAAAGCCAGGCCCACTAACATCAAAGCTCACACTCCTCCTCCCACACAGGCTGCACTCTGCTGACCCTTCCATGCTTATCACCTTCTCATTTATATGGCTTCCTGAAAACAAGCATTTGCCCAATGGAAGCAAGAATTTTCCCTGCATTCACATGTTAGTGTACACCAAACACAGGCTGGTCTCTTTTTCAGGACAGCAGGTGGTGGAAGATGCTGCTACCCGGGACAGGAGGCAGGCAGTGGATATAAGAATGTGCTTTGCAGAACAACAAGACTGTTTCAGGCCCAAACCTTCATGATTCTTAGAACTAGAGAACTGGGTGGGATATCGGTAGCCACATTACCATCAGGAGTTAGTGCCCAGTGGACCTTTACCATTGCCTGGACTTTGGTGGTGCCATGAGGGATGTCAGCACTTGGACCAGAACTCAGGGGTCCTGGTTCATATCCTGAAACACATGCATGTCTTTCCAGCATCAGTGTCCTGCCTGTTTGCTAGTGTTTTAAGCGCAGCTGGATACGGTCCTCCGGTTGCTAAATCAGCTCTTCTCAAATTCAGCTGCACATCAGAATCATTTGGGGAGTTTCTGAAGATCCCCAAACCTAGGCAAATCAGCATCTCTGGGGATGGGCCCAGTCCTCATTATTTTCTAAACTGCCTGGTGAGTCCAATTTGCAGTTAAGGCTACAATGTACACTCTATGTGTTGTAAGCACAGAAGACCAGGCCTGATAAGAATGTTCACTTGGGGGGCTGCCTGGGTGGCTCAGTGGGTTAAGCCTCTGCCTTCAGCTCAGGTCATGATCTCAGGGTCCTGGGATTGAGTCCCACATTGGGCTCTCTGCTGGGCAGGGAGCCTGCTTCCTCCTCTCTCTCTCTCTCTCTCTCTCTCTCTACTTGTGATCTCTCTCTGTCAAATAAATAAAATCTTTAAAAAAAAAAAAAAGAATGTTCATTTTGTGTCTTGAGAACTTCTTTCGACTTACTCCTTTGAACACAAAATACGTTTAAATTCAGATACACTGGGAATTAATAATACTGTTGCTTGAATAATCTTTGTAAGACACACAGCTGATCCCATCCTGCACCACTCTCTGCAGGGCTAGGGAGAGGTGAGGTGCCCAGAGCACAAAATTTCAAGAGAAGCCGGCAGTCCAGTTACACATGTTCTTCGGGGGAATCCTTCCTTACAGCTACGAGCATGAACTAGGAAGGCAAACCGAGTGCGCTCTGGACCCCACCTGTGCCACCTGTGGTCTCTGGGACTGTGGCTGAGTTAGCCATGCTTCCTTCGCTTCCTACTGAGTTAGCCAGGCCACCCACTGGGCAGTCGCAAGGATCAAATGCAGTTGGCGCTCAGCAGCAGGGAGGCAGCGTCCCTGCCCAGCCGGCACCTGCTTATCCTCCCAGGCTGAGCACATCTCCTGCGGCCAACTTTCTCCCCCATCTCCGCCAAGGTCACATCAACTGCTCTCTCCTCCGTATCCTGTGGCACTTTAGCTCCCTCTAGAACTTCTCCCACTGGATAAACTTAGCTGTTTATCCCAGTGCGTCTTACCTCCCATGAGGTAATCTGGTAAAAGAGAAAACACTTTGGGATCAGTCAGACCTGGGTTTGAATCCCAGCTGAATGACTGAGCATTCTCTTCGAGCCATGGCTTCCTTACCGCAAAATGATGAAAATAACACTGAATTCCAAGGGCTCTTGTATTCTGGCACATAGCAGCTGGGAAAGAAAGTTAGTTTCTTTCCCTGATCCACTAAACCCTCCATTCCAAGAGCCACCCCCATTCCAGCTATGAGTCCTTCGAGGTCAAGGACTTCGTTCAGTGTGATCACCTTCGGCGCCTTGCACTCAGTAGGGACTCAGCACATATTTAGGACCCAGTAAATGTTTGTCCTGCTGAAAGAAATCACAAGACAACCTGTATTTATACATGCAGACAAGCTGAGAAGTAAATTTTCAAACTGCAGGAACAAACTAGAAGAAGGCGAAGAAGAAAGAATGAGCATAGGCTTTGCTGGAACAGCCGGCAGACCACACTAACTGGAACAGACAAGACCCACTGGGAAACACTGGTGGAGGAGAGAACGGAGGACACAGCACAGCCAATACCAAAGGCCTTGGTTTCAGGGAGGATGGGTCTGGACTTTCTGAGACAGTTACTGCAGGTTTGTATCTCTAAAGCTTTGTTGGTAATCCTTTACCTTTCCATTAAGCAGGTAGGTGGCAGGCTGCATTATGTTCATCAGAACTCCCACTGGACTCCAGCTAAATTTGTATCTCAAAGGATTGTCTGAATGTTCAGGGGCTGGAAGCCCACCACAGTAGGAAATGTAAGATTCAATCTGAAAATAAGGGATGAAAGACAATGACAGAAATGGGATAAATGAAGTGAACTTGCTGCGTTTTTTCCCTGACATTTACAAAGGCTTTCAAAAGCCTTTCTTAAAGCCTTTAACCCTTCCTTAATGCCAAACTCTATTTATTAAGTCAGTTATATTTATATAAATAAATATATATATACATATCTGTGTATATATGCTATATATGTGTGTATATATACATAAAATCTTTAAAAATTTTTTAAATATCTAAAATTTTTTTTTAAATCCACTGGATATTGTGACTAATATTTTGCTAGTTAAAAATCCAACTATTAATTCAGTTCTGCTTGGTCAGTTCCTCCTGACTTTTGTGTTCTAATGATACATTTGATTATAATTTGATTATATGTTTGTAATATATAGGTCTAAATAGTATTAGTAAAGAATTAATACATAATATAATTAATCTTTATATAAAACATAATTCTAATTGACTTGATTCTATATGTGATTGCATACATGTTACATATATCTAACCTAAAGTATTTAATCTGACTCACCACATTTTCATATCCCATAGTTCCTTCTCATGTATAAAAGATACTTTATATACCAAAGACTGAAAATATTCCAAAGAATTTTTCCCACTTTTAAAAGTTAAGCCTTTATCCATTCATGGATAAAGAAGATATGGTATATATATACAACGGAATACCACTTAGCCATCCAAAAAAAAAAAAAAGAAAGAAAGAAATCTTGCCATTTGCAATGATGTGGATGGAGCTAGAGGGTATTATGCTAAGCGAAACAAGTCAATCAGAGAAAGACAATTACCATATGATCTCACTCATATAGGGCATTTAAGAAACAAAACAGATCATAGGGGGAGAGAGGGAAAAATAAAACAAGACAAAATCAGAGAGGGAGACTAACCATAAGAGACTCAGCTATAGGATTAAGAGTTTGCTGGGGGGAGGAGTGTGGAGGGATGGGGTTGCTAGAGGGGAGAGGGATGGGGGGATGGGGGGATGGGCATTAAGGAGGGCATGAGATGTAATGAGCACTGGGTATTACATAAAACTAATGAATCACTGAACTCTACCTCTGAAACTAATAATATACTTTATGTTAATTAACTGAATTTAAATTTTAAAATAATTAAAAATAATAAAAAACAAATCAAGTGGGAAAAAAAATAAAAATGATTGTTCTTAAGGCTACTTTAAAAAAGAATTAAAAAATAAAAATCAAACCTTACTATCTCCAAAAGCTGTCTAAAATCTTTCATTAAAACAAATGTTAGGGGCGCCTGGGTGGCTCAGTGGTTTAAGCTGCTGCCTTCGGCTCGGGTCGTGATCTCGGGGTCCTGGGATGAGTCCCGCGTCGGGCTCTCTGCTCGGCGGGGAGCCTGCTTCCCTCCCTCTCTCTGCCTGCCTCTCTGTCTACTTGTGATCTCTCTCTGTCAAATAAATAAATAAAATCTTAAAAAAAAAATGTTATAGTAGCATCTATTTCTCTAAAAATCTATTGTTAAGCCTTGGACACTGTTTTACCACACAGATATTTCTGCAGTTAAAGGATTTTACTAGAAACTTCTAGTCAAAGTATGAGTTAGAATATAGCAGCTTCCTTAATTAAAATTATAAAGAGACTATTCTGTACACAAAAATCTGGACCTTTTAGTATTTTCCTAAATGGAAAGTATTTAGTATTTAGTATTTTAGAAAGTATCTAGTATTTAGTATTTTCCTAAGTGGACCTTTGGGTGTAAATTGGGCTCACCGTGGCTCCCACTTCCTTGGCTTTATCTATAGTTTCCATTGCCAGCATATGATCAAGACCAGGGTCCAATCCCAGTTCACCAATGACTGTGATGCCAGCATCTTCCACACTACAACAGGCAAGAAGGGGAGGGAGAAAAAGTTGGATATAAAATAAAAATAATGCCATGGAGCCACTTTGCTGAAAATGACTTGAAACTTACCTCTTTTCTAATTCTTTTAGTGCTGGTGTGATGTAGCTTGCCGTGATCATGTTAACGTGGCCTGTGATGCATGCCTTCGCCACAAGAGGATGCAGTGCGTAAGGCAACAAGCTTAGAAACAGAGAGAAACTAATCAGAAACGTTCCCAGCCCTACCTTTCAAAGTATCTTGAATTGAACTAAAGCTGAGACATCACTCTGATTATTCTGTGACCAATGACTCTTTGAGAACTACAGAATAAATTCATCCTGTTATCACATTTAAAACCCTCCACAATTTGACCTTCACCTAGTTTTTCCATTATTCTCCCTCTATCTTCTTCATAAACCATATACGGGAACCAAAGAAGTTACCATAATTCTCCACTCACAGCCTGTACTTTTCCAGCTCTGGAATTTTACTATTACTGTACCTTCTCCTTGGAATATTACGTCCACCCACTCACCCCTATCCAGGTCATACCCTACTTAAAGAAATGTCTGAAAAGGCATCTCCGCCAAGAAGCTCTCCCAGATTTCCCCAAAGCCAGATATTCTTCTGCATTCATTCAGCTATTTCTTTGCAACATTTAATGGAATTTATTCCATTCATCCTTATATTTCTATGATTTTCTGTCTTGGTTCCCCTACTAAAAGAGAAGGTACTTTTTCTTTTTCTTCCGTATTTCCCAAATGGTTATCAGGTTGATTAAACTAAGTCAAAGTGACCCAGATGTTACATGACAGAGTAGAATCTAAGAAAGTCCAAAGAAGCAAAAAAGCTTTAATGGTACTGACCAGTGTAAAAGCTATCAAAATGGTTAGAAATCGATACGCTAAGCAAAAAATGAAACTGTGTTCAAAATTTAACTTCAATTCGGTTTTCTTAAAGTCTGGCTTTGGTGTTTTAATTTGGCACTAGGACTACAGAATCACAAAAAATGAATTTCCATAAATGTTAATATAAATGAATACATTCATGTTCTATCCAAGGAATAATAAAACATCCTGTCAACTGCATAACAATATTCAAGTTCTATGAGCTTCATAGTACAATGAAAATATAAATACAACTATAAACATTATCACACTATATCACTGTATTTGTCAAATTCATTTTGTCGAGGCCATCACTTTGCTAAACTTCAAACTATGCACGTATTAACAGATTATTATCTTGTCATATTTTGCTTCAGATTTAGTTTCAGATTTAGTTTCAAATGTGCCTTATAATGTTTTTTTTATGGAAAAAAAAAACAATGTTTTATTTAGGTACCTATATGTGGCGAAACAAACTCCCTTTGTTTTATTCAGGAGGCTAGAACATTCCATTATGAATCATAATCATATCACTGACAGACAAGATCTATGGGTCACCAGTAAATTCTTGCTGAATAACAATTATTTCACATTAAATTTATATAAATAGAATAACATTTTAAGGGCCTAAAGTGAGCCTATAATTTAAATACATCAAGAAATATTACACAAGTTCCCACACAAGATTACCTTTCCTACTGTATGTTTTCGAAACCTGTATTGTTTTTTGTTTTTTGTCTTTTTAAAGTAGGACATCACAGAACTTCCTCCAAGATATCATATTAATCTGATCTAACTATGAAAGTCACCTAATTATGGATGAGCAGGTAGTTTTTTTCTTCCACCTTGGAAAAATTGTATTCTAGGAATAAGTGACTATTCTCATCACTTTGGTATTTTAGAACCCAGTTTAATTATAGCGTACCCTCATGTCGCTCTGTACCTAGAAGTTACATCTGCATTTTTATCAGTAGTAAACATTATAGTTCAAGATCTGTTCCTCCAATAAAATTAAAAATAGTCATAAGGCTAGAGAATCTACTCATTTTCACTTAAGCTTTATAAGTCCAAACAACAAAAGAGCCACCAAAATATATGAAACACTAATACTTCTGACACACCAATTCCACCTCTACATAAATATCCAACAGAAATGCGTATATATGACAACCAAAAGACAAATACTAAAATGTTCATAGCAACACAATTCATGATAGTCAAATTCCAGAAACAATCTGAACATCCAACAGTCAAAGAGCTAATGAGGGTATATTCACACAATGAAATGATACATGGCAATGAGAATGAATAAACTATAATTACATGCAACAACACAAACAACTCTCACAATCACAGTATTGCAGAAAGAAGGCAGCCACAGATTAGAACATACTGAGTTGTTCCAATTGTACAAAGCTGAAAACTAGCAAGAAGTAATGTACACATGAAAGGCCAAGATAGTGCTTACCTTTGAGGGATGGGGCTAATAGTGGAAACAGACACACGGAGGGCTTCTGGGGTACTGCTATTCTGTTTCTGGATGTGGATGATGGTTAAGAAGTGGGTTCACTGTGAAAATTCACTGAACTATATACACTTAGGATCTGGGCATATTTCTGGGTACATACTTCAATTGAAAATTTACTTAGAGAGAGAAAATAAGGAGAGACATAACAATAACAACAGTACATGGCGATCATCTCCTCCTAGATACTAACCTGATGACAAGATCCTGTTTTGCCACCAAGGAGCTCAACTTCTCTTCTTGTTTACTAATGTCCACGCTAATAGGATTAATATTATATTTCTTGCCTAACTGTTCGATTTGGTTCTTCATGTCAGAGCCTATTTCGAGGATACGAAAGTCCAGTTTTTAGATTACCCTTCACTAGTCAGAGAGTAAAACACAGTTTGACATCTCCAAAAATAATTTCTCAAAGTTTAGAAACAAGATAGTCATCTAAAATTCACGAAGTAAGCATGCACTGAAATCAGTTTCCCTTCTTCTTCTTTAAAAATCACGGCTTATTTACCTACTGTGATTTCGATCTTGTTATCTCTTGACAGATATTCCAACACAGGTTCAGATACATAACCAGATCCAAGAACCAAGACCTTCTTCTTGGTGCCCATTGAAAGTGACTGAGCAAGTTCCCTATAAATAAAAGAGGGGAAGGGGAGAAAAACTGAACAACAAAAACATATTTAAATAACAAAATCTTGCTGTCCCACAAACAAATCAAACCTTAGACTATGAAGCAATATTCCTTACAGTAAGAACCTCAACAGGAGTTCCCCAAACCAACACTTTTTATTAATTATTTTAGATTTTGTACAATGAGTAACAGACCTGACTTCTCTGAGGTATACATCCATAGATTTCCATGAATTCCCAACCACTGGTGAGATGCACATGAAGGACCACTGCCTGGCTTACCCACAATTGAGTAACTTGGTTTCACACTTTATCCTTCCACGGGACGTGATTCAAAATCATGCCAGGGGCTATGCATCAGAAACCTTACTCCTCACAACAATTTAAGGTGACAACAATCTGAGAAGAAGATTATTATTTGCCATATCAGGCATCGTTTTGTCATTTGTCATTAGGGTCACTTGAAAACAATTAAAACCAGACTTTTGAAATCACAAATGCCATGGGTTAAATATAAAAATTTAAGATGAATTACTAGGCAGGATTTCAATGCTTGAACAATTTATTCTGTTGGAATCTGTCCCTTCCTGACAGATTAACTTTCTGCCTTTCCTACAAGATATAACCTCCAAGACCATGACTGTCTTATTAATGTTCAACAAACTTTGTCTTAAATATGGAAGATATTCATTAAAACTCTGCTCAATCAAATTCACAAATATCGATGCAATACCATGGGAATGGCTTGGTGCCAGGGACATAAACAGAAGGCTCTGTTATTGCAATCTTTTTGGGCAAGATGTCCTCAAACTTTAACCTTTCCATTAATTCTAAGTGAATAAAAATAAATTTAAATACAAAATGTCCCTGCTCCTCTTCACCCTCAACACTCATATTACTAATGAAGTGAGTCTCCCTTAACCTCCCCCCCATCCATTTCACCCCACAGAAAAGAACACAATTATTTTTTCTTGTATATGTTTTCTAACAATATTTTCTATAGTTTATGTAATTAAATTATATTCTTTTGATGTCCAAAAACACAATGTTCAAAATACATTTTTAAAAACTCGCTCTTAGATTTTAATTCCATCCACCCCTTCAGCTATTTCAAACACTCGAAGTTAATAATCACTATGCTAAGTGATAAAGAGAATATTCAAATAAGGCAGATCTTTAAGATAACTTAAATTTCCTTTCAAAATACAACCTTCCTTATCGGTCTCTTGACAGAGATTCCACCAGGAAGGAGGGTAGCAAGTCCTAGTAGACTTGCTGCTACAAGAAATATGGAGTGTAAGAGTGAAAACATCATCGTGACCAGTCATGTTAGACATGTTATTAGGATTAGTAATATAAGAGATTATCAGATAGTAAGAATCAAAAGACACAGAGAGTTATGAAAAATGAATATATGTGAAGTTTCCCCTATAAGAAACACTCCTACAGGACTATAGTGCTAGCCAGTTTAAAAAACAAAAACAAAAACAAATCTCTCTTGGTATCTTATGCCAGAATATTTCACCGACACATCAAAAGTAACTGTAAGAAAACGAACACAGATGGACCAGCACAGCAGTAGTATACTTGATCCAAGCAGATCTCTTTATTTACTTCTTACAGATAGAAGAGCTGAGAAAGAAGATAAGGCAGTTTGTTCGCTTCTTTTTAATTGTCCCACTCTGGTCTCTCCTGAGAATTCAGTGCATGGGTTATTTTGTTAAATGTGAATAGACCAATGGAGCAGACATAAACATAAATCAAGTACAATCAGCTGAAGAGGACCAGACCATTCCAAAGAAATGTCAATGTTTTCAAACTCTGAGTAGTAAAATCAATTAAGGGAACAAGGGCCTTAGCTAAGTACCTTTCTAAGAGAACTATTCTCTTGGGTACATTTACCACATTACTGTTTGGCACCTTCCTCCTAAGAAGAATTCCCAGGGAAAACTGACCTCTCACCATTTTCTTTCTTCACTACTTCTCTTCATTTCTAAGTAAGAGACCATTTGCCTAAACGTTATACTAAACAAAATAGAGTCCAAACCCTCAACTAAAAATCAGACTGAAAGCACCACAGGAAGGGTTAGTGTGCTTATTTTCTTTGAGAAAATAGCTGAGACATATCAATATGCAAAATGCTAGCGAAAGAACAAGGGGTTACCCAAAAGACAACTTTTTAGACTCCTGCTTGCTTACACCCGAGTCTACACAGGAATTTAGCAAGCCAAAATGATGTTCAGAGAAAAATAATTCCCACTGGTTTCAGCTAGTCACATAGTTTGGATTTCCTGTATCTAAAGACATTTTCAAAATTGTGTAAACCTAGTATCCTGCACAAAGAAACATTTAAAAATACTCAAAAAAACCAAGATAGGAATAGTGCTTACCTGCTCTCTCGGAGTTTCTGGATATATTTATACTTATCAGTCAATACACCATTGGATGTAATCACTGCCTAAATGTGTATGACACAAGATATTTTAGTGTCCATATATTACACCCACAACAGGGGCTCATGTAACAAAGATGGAGAGAGGAAGGGAAAGGAAGAGAGTGAGAGAGGATGGTAGTGGAAAAAATACAACCATGGAAAAAACTATTTTCGTAACTTACGTCTCGCACCACAGGAGAAAAATTCTGACTTTCAAGAGGCTGTGTTGCATCTGATAATATCTGAAAGGAAAATGAGACTGGTAAGAGATAAATGACATTGCAGAGAAGATCTTGGTGTTTATTTCCATATTAAAATATTAGTCAAAGGAAAAAAAGAATTTACAGGAGTTTTCTGAAGATCACGGAATACAAATAATTGGTAATAGAAGTCTACAAGCAACGAATTGTCCCTCAAGAACCTACAATTTCAGCACAAGTCCCAATTTTAAAACTAAAACTTGATTACAATCATCTTTGCTTGTTAAAAACACTAAACGGTTTATCTTTCCCCAACAGTTTGATGTGTCATATTGAACATGCTGGCAAACATCACCACAAGTTTTACCCACTCCAAGGGCCTGAATCCCACCCCAAAGGTTCACACTGTTCTATCAGAAGAGAGAATGGGCCTTTCAGACAAAAAGCCATCAACCCTGCAAAAGGAGTCTCCCTCAGGTCCATACGGTTCTATGTATAGGCACATCAGCATTTCAGAAGCATCAAGAACAAAGTAGACCTCAAAGAGACATGCAGTCTTCCCATTATCTCACAAGAATGAGTCCCATGGAAAACAACAAAAGCCACATCTCTCAGATTAACACCCACCATCCTTCTAATCCTCCTCTTTTCTTCCAAGGTATCCAACTCCTGAATAGACTGCCTACAGTAAAGTTCATGTCAGTTAGTAGTATTGCTTCTGATGGTCAGGACCTTTGGGTCAATGGGACAACCATTCCCTCCTTACCCCTGTAGATTAAAGTCTAGACCGGTCACCCAGTTGAGAAAGAGCAAAATGTACATACCAGATACTGGCAGAGAAATATTTATTTACTGTATTAAAATAAGTATCAGGGGCACCTGAGGGGCATAGTCAGTTAAGTATCCAACTCTTGGTTTCAGCTCAGGTTGTGATCTCAGGATTGTGGGATAGAGACTCCTGTCAGGCTCTGTGCTCAGCATGTAGTCTGCTTGAGATTCTCTCCCTCTCCCTCTGCCCCTCCCACTCATGTTCTCTCTCTCTGTAAAACAAATAAATAAATCTTTAAAAAAAATAAAACAAATATCAAAACTACTTTCATGTGTCTAAAGCATACAACACTTATGCTATCTATTCCGGGCATATGGGCATTTTAAAAAAGATATCTATCTATAAGACTGGTAGGGCATCTTTGGGGAAGCTCATGGAATTGGCACAACTGGTATCCTCCACTGCTTCTTTCACCCAACCACCTATGACTATTCCCTCATCAAGATAAGTCCCCCACCTACCAACCCCACCTCCTACCAGGAGCCATCAGCAAATAACAACACGTGATTTGAATTTTACTTGGCATATGGCTAAACTACCGAACTCTTGTATATCCTTCCATTGTCTCTACTGTTTATACGTAATTCTGTGGCCTTACTCAGGTCTTTCTGAGTCCAGGGGAACTACCTCCCACCTCTCTCCTTCCATTTATCTTCAATCTAAAACACAAACCTGGGCGCCTGGGTGGCTCAGTGGGTTAAGCCACTGCCTTCGGCTCAGGTCATGATCTCAGGGTCCTGGGATCGAGTCCCGCATCGGACTCTCTGCTCAGCAGGGAGCCTGCTTCCCTCTCTCTCTCTCTCTCTGCCTGCCTCTCTGTCTACTTGTGATCTCTCTCTGTCAAATAAATAAATAAAAAATCTTTAAAAAAAAAATAAAACACAAACCTGATTGTTTCTTTTGTATCTATTTAAAATAATCCAGTAGCTTTCTAATACCCTCAAGATCCAGTCCCTAGTTCCCTATGTGGCCCCCCCAGACTTTCCTACAGTCTGTCTCTGCTTCTCCAATCTTAATTCTCCCTTCTGTCTCATACCCAAAACTCTAGTCCTATCAATTAGACTAACACTCATCTGCATTAGCATTCCCATGCCTCTGTACTATAGCATGTGGATGCTTCACATGCGATGCCTCTGCATGGAATTCCCACTCTTCATCCTCCAAGATACAGCTGAAAAACTGCCTCCTCTGTGAAGCCTTTATTAAAATCCGCCCCTAAGCAGACTGAAGCTAAGAACTGCACTTGGTGTCTTGCCTGTGCAATAAAATGGTAAATATTCAATAAATATATAAAAGGATATATGCAATAATTGCATGGATTTTTTTCCCCAAGAAAATGAAATAACTATCTTGAGTCCACCCAAAGAAAGGCAAACAGGAAAGACAACAAAAGGCTGCTGGATGACTGCATTTAACTTGCTGGAGTTCAACCATGACAAAAGTGCAGGCACAGGGTCCTTGTCACTTTCACATATACCACCTTTGAGAGCTCACCACTTTTTCCTAAATCAATTTCAAGCTCTTTATGCTGGTGTCAAGACCCTTTCCAATGTAGAACCAACATACTTCCCTTTACGTACCTTACTTCACAGCTCACAGAAACCCTCTGTTAAATTAACTCCCACCTTTGCTCTCCTGTCTCCATCACATGCCTCTTATTCCCATGCAAATGAACAGATCCGATACATCTGTCAAGAGCCAAATCAAATATCACACCTTTCATAAAACCTTTCTGGACTTTACCGAACAAGATGGAGCCTTTCCCTCCACAACTTCATTAGCATATTCCTAATGGCTGTCATATTCCACCTTATGACAGGGTTGCACACTTGTCTCATCCCTTCCTAGACCTCATGTCTCTATAGATCAGAAGGTGTATTTTAATTTTCTTCATCCATATGTGTGCCTTGTTCCAGCAGACAAAAAATATGTAACTAATTCAAGTGAAAAAAACTTCTCTATTGGTTCAGAATGATAGCCTTTAATGCCACAGGGTCTGAACCTTATGTCAAAAAGGAAAATCTAGGGGTAAAAGACAGTGCACATACTTTTTTTTAAAAAAAGATTTTATTTATTTGAGAGAGAGAGTGGGAAGAGAGGCAGAGGTGGGGGGAAGAGGACAAGCAGAGCCCCATGCAGGCCTCGATCTCACGACCCTGAGATCATGACCTGAGCCGAAACCAAGAATCAGATGCTTAACCGAGATGAGCCACGCAGGTGCCCCGACAGTGCATATACTTTAAATACAGTTCCCATACAGTTATCAGAAGAGAACACAACTTAATTTTTTTAGTGGTAAGCAGAACACACGTATCGAGACTACAATATAAGGCCATAAATTTTCAAAAATGTCCAGTGCTTAAAGACTGTGTGCTGACAAAGATGCCCCCAAGACAATCCCACCACACTGTTCAGAGGACTATCATGATGTATAAAAGGAAAAAGGTGTGACAATTTAGAGACGCCAGCTTAGTCATCAAACATCTAAGCAATATCACCTGTCTCAGTCTGACCAAAAACCTCCAACACTTCACTGTCAGATAATTTTAACCTTCTCACATTGCCTAAGAGTCTATTAACTGCCAGTTTATGTAAGCAAAAACATACCACCTTTTTAAATGTACATTTTCTCTCCAGCAAAGGTGAATTAGTTTTTTTCAGACCAATCTTCCCATTGAGTAAAACCAGGTAAAATGAAAAGCCTCAGTTTTTCGCTTCAAAGGGTAGATAAGACTTTTTCTGGTTTAGGGAAAATAGTGGAAAAGGAGGACCCTAAGCTCACCTGTTACCACAGACACAATTAGATGACAATCACATCAATTTAAATAACCCAGAAAATGACTTGAAGACTGGCAGAACAAACTCTCCACAGCTAAATGAAGAGAAGATGCTACATTGAAGAGGGTAGGAAGGTGCTGAGATGAAGGGATCTGAAGGACTTTCCACAGGAGGGAGGGACAATACAGGCACAGGGAAGGGAGAGAAACAGACTTTCACATGGGGAAACCCACAGAGGAAAGATGAATCCCCATAATTTTTGCTTTTGAAAACTAAAAGGACTGAATTTTATAGCTTTTTATAAGCACCGGTACTTAAAACCTGGAACTTTAAAAATCTGCAGGATTTTTAAATCTCTGGGAGAGTGCAGAGGCCAAGATGAAACTGAGTCCCTACCCTGAAAGAAATAGCACAAGAAAAAGCCCTATTGAGATATAGCACAGAAGGAGCAGTTTAAAAAATGCCTGGGGTATATGGGAGGAAGATATGTTTACTAATCTCAGAGCATGTGCTGGGGGGCAAGGATCCATGGGAGACTTCTCCAGGAATAAAGACGCTGGCCTGCACTATTTCCCTGCCCCACCCCTCAGCCTAAACACATGCTACAAGCTGAAAGCAGCACAGGACCTACACTCCTACCTAACTTGATAACAGTGTGCCTACCCATGTGTTCCCCTGTGGACACACTCCCTCAAGCCAGGCCTCAGCTCAATGTCTCCTCCCATGGAAGACCTTTGCATGTTTTGGTAACACTCTGCAACTGACACCACAGTCTTCTGCAGATCAAGCCCCTCCAATACACTCTTGGTCTGAGCCCATCCAAAACAGTGCCACAAGGCCGCCAGCATGCGAGCAGCCCTGATGGACCAGCACCACTCCAAAGGAATGCCTGCCCCAGGGAGAGGGACAGAGAACTACACACACCAGCCAGACTGAACCCCAGCAGTGGGCTGGGAACAGATAGCTGATCCGACAGCAGGCCCCACTTACCCACAAAAGCTTTACAGAAGACAAAACAGGGAAAGCAACCTACACCTCAGTGCTACTGCATCTATGGCAAATGCCAGGTCTGACACCACTTAAACCCAAGGCATCCCCAGACCAACCTATTAATGTCACAGGGACCAAACACTGCCCATAATAGGCAAATAGGGCCATTGCAGATGATGACTGAAGAAAAAAGTGGCTCAGCCACAAGAGCAGAGTGCACACAGCACATAGAGGAGACACCCCTGAAGTACTAGTTCTGACGTACAGGGAACACAGCACTGCAGGGCACTGCAGGGCCTCTTCTTCATAAGGCCGCTACTTTCAAGAGCAGGAAATGTAGCTGATTTTCCTAACACATAGCAACAGACACAGAGAGTTAGACAAAATGAGACAGAGGAATATGTCCCAGATAAAGAACAGGACAAAATCACAGCAAGATACCTAAGTGAAGTGGAGACTACCTAAGTAAGATGCTCTTGAGGAAGGAGTGGAGGGCTCAGTGAGACCCTTAACAAAGAGAGAGAAAACATAAAAGAACCAATCAGAAATGAAGAACTCAATAACTAAAATTAAAAATACACTAGATGGAATAAATAGTGGGCTAGAGAAAGCAGAAGAAAAGATCAGGGACCTGGAGAACAGAGTAATGGAAAACAATCAACCTGAACATGTGAGAGAATAAGTAAGAATACAAAATTAAAACAGCCTTAGGGAACTCAGTTACCCAATCAAGTATAATAGTTATATTACAGGGATCCCAGAAGAAGAAAGAGAAAAAGGGACAGAAAATATATTTGAAGAACAGCTGAAAACTTCTTTCGTCTGGGGAAGGAAACAAAAATCCAGATCCAAGAGACATAGAGAATCCCCCAAAAAGTTGACCCAAGGAGATCTGCACAAAACCACATAATAAAATGGCAAAAAGTAGTGATAAAGAGAGAATTTTAGAAGCAGCAAGAGAAAAGAAAACAGTTACATATAAGGGTAATCCCACAAAGCTATCAGCAGATTTATCATCAGAAACTTAGCAGGCCAGAAGAGAGCGGCATGATATACTCAGAGTGCTGACAGAAAAAAACCTGCAGCCAAGAATTCTCTATCCAGAAAGGCTGTAATTCAGAATAGGAGGAAAAATGAAGTTTTCCAGACAAACTAAAGGTAAAGGAATTCATGATCACTAAAACAGCCCTACTGGAAATGTTAAAGGAGATTCTTTGAGTGTGAAGGAATGACCATAAGTAGGAGTAAGAAAAGTAGGAGGTACAAGAACAGTGAAATTAAGTATATCTATAAAAATCAGTCAAGGGACTCACAACATAAAAGGATGTAAAGTACAACTTCATGTACCTAAAATGTGGGAGGAAGAGGAGTAAAGAATGAGTTCAAACTTAAGCAGCCATCATTTTAATATAGACTACCAGATGCAGATGTTATATACAAACTGAACAGGAACCAAATATCAACAATCAGTAATAGATATGCAAAAAAAATAAAAGAGAAAGGACTGAAGATCACCACTAAAGAAAGTAAACTAATCATGAAAAACCAACAGCTAACATCATACTTAATGGGAAAAAAATGAGAGCTTTTCCCTAAGGGTGGGAACAAGACAAAGGTGTCCACTTTCTCCATTTTTATTCAAGATAGTACTGAAAATACCAGCCACAGCAATCTAACAAGAAAAGGGGATAAAAGCCATCTAACTTAGTAAGGAAGAAGTAAAACTTTCACTATTTGCAAATGACATGATACTATATATAGAAAACTCTAAAGACTGCCGTAAGAAACTGCTGGAACTGATAAATGAATTCAGTAAGGTTGCGGGATACAAAAACCAATGTACAGAAGTCCACTGCATATCTATACACTAATAATGAAGCAGGAGAAACAGAAATTAAGAAAACAGTCCCATTTACAATTATACCAAAAGGAATAAAATATCTAGAAATAAATTTTAATGAGGAGGTGAAAGACCTGTACTGTGAAAACTATAAAACACTGATGAAAGAAACTGAAAATGACCCAAACACACAGAAAGATATTTCATGTTCACTGATTGGAAAGACAAGTATTGTTAAAATGTCCATACTACCCAAAGCAATCTTCAGGTTTAATACAATCCCTATCAAAATACCAACAGCATTTTTCACTAAAGTAGGACAAACAATACTAAAGTTTGTGTAGAACCACAAAAGACCCTGAGTGGCCAAGCAATGTTAAAAAAGAAAAACAGGGGTGACTGGGTTGGTTAAGTGTCTACCTTCAGCTCAGATCATGATTACATGGTCCTAGGATGGAGCCCCACATTGGACTCTCTGCTCAGCGGGGAGTCTGCTTCTCCCTCTGCCTCTCCCCGTGGCTTGTGCTCTCTCTCACCCTCACTCTTTTTCTCTCTCAAATAAATAAGGAAAATCTTAAAAAAAAAAAGAAAAAGAGAACTAGAGGTATGACAACTCCAGATTTCAATGTATACTACAAAGCTGTAGTAATCAAAACAGTATGGTACCGGCACAAAGTAAACAACAGATCAATAGAACAAAAGAGAGGGCCCAAAAATAATATATAGTCAATTAATCTTTGACAAGGGAGGCAAGAACACACTATGGGGAAAAAGTCTCAAACAAATCCTATTGTGAAAACTGAACAGCTACATGAAAAAGAATGAAACTGGACCACTTTCTTACAGCATATACAAAAATAAACTCAAAGTGGACTAGGACCTAAATGTAAGACACTAAACCTCAAAAATCTCAGAAGACAGCACAGGGAGTAATTTTTCTAGCATTGGCCATAGCAACATTTTTCTAGATACGTCTAGATACATTTTTCTAGATAGGCAAGGGAAACAAAAGCAAAAATTAACTATTGGGACTTACATCAAAATGAAAAGTTTCTGCACAGCAAAGGAAATAATCAACAAACTAAAAAAGCAACCTACTGAATGGGAGAAGATATTTTCAAATGATCTATCTGATAAAGGATTAGTATCCAAAATATAGAAAGAACTGATATAACTCAACACCAAAAAACCCAAATATTCCAATTAAAAAATGGGCAGAAGACTTGAACAGACATTTCTCCAAAAGAAGACACACCAATAGCCAACAGGCACATGAAAAGATGCTCCGCATCGTCATCTGGCAAATGCAAATCAAAATGACAATGAAACAGCACCTCACACCCAACAGAATGGCTAAAATAAAAAATACAAGAAACAACAAGTGCAGAAGAGGATACAGAGAAAAAGGAATCCTCTTGTACTGCTAGTAGGAATGCAAAATGGTACACTTGCTATGGAAAACATATGGAGGTTCCTCAAAAAACTGAAAATAGAACCACCATATGATCCAGCAATTCCACTACTGGATACTTACCCAAAGAATATGGAAACACCAATTAGAAAAGGTATATGCACCCCTATGTTTATTGCAGCATTATTTACCATAGCCAAATCATGGAAGCAGCCCAAGTATCCATCAATAGATGAATGGATAAAGAAGATGTGGTGTAAACATATATGTGTGTGTGTGTGTGTGTGTGTGTGTGTGTGTGTGTGTGTGTATATACACTCATATATATACACACACACAATGGAATATTACTCACCCATAAAAAATGGAATCTTGTCATTTGCAACAACATGAATAGAGCTAGACTGTATACAGTGCTAAGCAAAATAAGACAGAGAAAAACAAATACCATATGATTTTCCTCATATGGGCAATTAAAGATACAGAACAAAGGAACAAAGGAAAAAAAGACTCTTAACTACAGAGAACAAACAGATGGTTACCAGAGGGGAGGTGGGTAGAGCGATGTGTGTAACAGGTGATGGGGATTAAGGGTACACTTTTCACGATGAGCACTGAGTAATGTACAGGATTGTTAAATCACTATATTGCATACCTGAAACTACTGGAATTAAATTTTTTTAAAAATAAGGTAAAAAAGACTTGCTCCACCATAATTCTGGGGAAGAAAACCCAAAGAGATGAATCTAGCATCTGGCCTGACCTTTCATGGGTATGCCAGGAAGAGAACCTAGAGCAACCACAGCCTCCAGAATGTGAGTGGAAAATGCCAGAAAGGGCAGATTCAGAAAAAGCAAAGCCCAACTTTCATGTGAACTCTGTTTAAATCTCTGGATAACCCCCAAACTGAGTGGGTATAGGTAAGCAACCCAGGTAAAGATGAAAGAGCTGAACTTTTATTTGAGCTACCCCCAACCTTAGATGAGGCAAAGTTTTCAATTTAAGTCTAACCAGTCTAAGTCTAACCTCTGCTAATTAAAAAAAGAGAATCAACCCTTTCCAGGAAAATGTAATAATCTAGAATCTCCACAGCATAACTATTCATATCATCCAGGATATAATCCCAAATTATGTAACTGAAAAAAACCAGAAAACTATGATCTGACCCATTTTTAAGGAAAAAGACAATCCATAAGTTTCAACCCCAAGCTGACACAGAATTTTGGAAATATGATGCAAAGACTATAAAGAGACTTTTCTAACTCTGTCCATATGATAAAGAACAGTACACTCAAAGTATATGAAAAGATAGAAATTCTCAGCACAGAAAGAGAAGAGTATGCTTAACATAAATATTGAAATAAGAACACTTATTTCTGGCAAATGAAATGGCATTTAGATAACACAGTATTTTGGCAGTCAGCCACTGATCACAATGAAAAATACATGACCACAACAAAAGCTGTCACTTAACTAAGCATTAGTGACAAACATCCAATAAAATTTTCTGTATTTCTGATTTTTCAAATCTGTTCATCACAGCACAGTAAGAATGTTCTAACATGAATTGACCTAGACAGCAGAAGAGTGAAAAAAAGGAAATCTTATCTCAATGTCATGAACATTCTTAATAAAATATGAATAATGAGAGATAAATTCAATTATAATTAATCATGAAGACAGTTATGTAATCATATTTCCCATGAGACAAGTAAGCAGAATATATAAATGAATGTCTATAAATACTTTTGAATGAGGGCTGGCATTTCATTTTACAGCAGATTTCTTAGGTATTGGAGACCAGAACATTCCCAAGAGCCCTCCACAGTTCTATTTAAAGCCACAGAATTGTGGATGCTACCAGTCAGCTTACCATTTCTTCAACGTAAGGGTAAAGCATGTCTCCAAAGTATTCTGTAGCTTCAATCGGAAGCTGTGCTGGCAAATTGTCAATGGAACACATCAGAATCCCAGAACCTTCAACACTAGGAGAAGCAATATGCTTTATTCAGACGTATAAAATGTTATTTGTAAGCTCTAACTTTTCCAGGTGTCCACTCCATTATATGTGTTTCATAATAATTTATAATTGTGTACCAAAGTCTAAAAGAAAATAAGCAAAACTTTCTCCAGCAACCCATCTCCCATTTAAATATAATATACATGTTTTTAAGTATTTGAATTTGCTTGTAGTTTTTCTACCAAATTTTTAAATATGTTTCAGCATAGCTCTGGATATTTGTATAGCCGTCATAAAAATGTAAAACATTGAGTATTTTAAACTAGTACATCAAGGTTAACTGAGTGACGTATTCCCATCTATCTCTTATGATCTACAGCCTTAGCAAACTCACCTGTCATGAATAATATGCTGGTCTGCATCATACATACAAAAAGGATGTTCTATTGTCGTACATTCAGTCATAAACTCTATAGATCCTCCTGTGTCAGCTGAAATGTCACATATCGCCACAAGTCTGAAAATAACATCAATACTCAGATCAGAGCATGGAACTTCTCAACAAGATTAAAGATGAAAGAAAATGAAAGGTACTTGAACAACTTTCAGTGTGGGAGCCAAATATTTCCTGGGCTCTTTAGTTCTTTTTCCTACAGTTCACTGTTCAGGACACTGTATTCTTCTAGGATATGGACAATCTTCCCAATACAAGTTTTAGTATCCATATACAAAAGTAAGAAGAAAAAGAAGAGCAGGTGGAGAAAAAAGGAAATCAAAGTGGAAAACCCCATCCCTAGAGAAATCATAAGAAACAACCTCGTTAAAATTAACCTATTCAGCCAACTCTAAATAACTTACGAAAGTTTGATTACATTACCTCCACCCTGCTTAGCGGCACAAGATTTATTCTGAGGGGGACTCTGCATGACCGAAGACTACAGAACACACAAATACATTGTTCTTCATACAAGGTGAGGCCAGAGTGTCCCATCAGAAGGTTTGGAATTGTAGGTAACTTTTTGTATCATGGGGATAGGTCTGTGCCTTTCTAGCCACATAATTTTACATGTTAATGCCGGGAAATCTCCAGAATTATGAACAGAAATCTCAGCCCAGCTTTTGAAATCCTTTAGTGGTTGACCAAAAATTTCCTGCCCAACCTCCAACTACCACTTGCCTTTATAAACCCTGTACTAGAGCTAGACTGTTGTACTTGCTGTGTCTTAAGTTGTGCTTTGGTGGTTCCATACTTATCAAGCATCAATCCTACCACCTGCAATTCTCTTTCTCCTCAGTCTTCCCTTTCAAGGCTTTGCTGAGCCCAATGTTCCTACTTTCTTCTAAATTCTTGAGCTATTTATTGCTCCTAGTACTCCCTTGGCATTTACATCATACCAGCTGCATGCCTGAGGGTAGCAATCATATTTTTTCTCTATACTTTAGCTTAGCAGAGTGCCAGGTAGATGAGGTGTTCACAATTTACTGTGATTAATTGATTTATTTATTGACTAATTACGTAATTCAACATTTGATAATTATTTGAATACAAACTGTATGTCAGGCAATGTGCTGGGTACTCGTCGCCAAAATAAATAGGACCCCTATCCTTAAGATTAAATTTTAACGGGAGGGAGAAAAATCATAAACACAAGAAAATAAATAATCATGCATTTCGGGGGGAAAAAAGAACAGACTAGAGAGAGATGGGGACAGGGACATAGAAGATCTTTCTAAGGAGTTTACCTTTGAGCTTCATGTAGAGTTGAGAAGAGAGTTTTAAGAAGAAGGAAGGTTAACTGTCAAACGCAGCCAAGAAATTGAGTGAAATAAAGCAGACCACTAGCCTTTACCAGTCAAGTCCTGTGATATGTGAATCCCCTGTAGGTGACACCCTAAGAGTGGGCTCTGCTGCTGAAAACTGCCATCCTTACTGAAGTAAAGTCCTTACTTGTGTGGTAATGCAGGGCAGCCTTCCACACCAGCAACAGAGGACTTGCCTGGAACCAAGAGAGTCTGGACATCTTGGCGAGTTAGCAGACGAGGGGTGTTTTGCTCCCAGTAGATTCCGTTAATTAAACAAGTTGTATAGGGTGCAATCTGTAAAGCAAGTGGCAACTTGAACAAGATAGGCAATAGCAAATTTCAAAGCAGCAGGCTGAAAGAGAGCTATCAGTAAAGTTCATGAGAAATAATTTAATGTTACTTCAAAGTGACTTTATTATTTGCCACATCAGTGGTCATTCTGTGAGGTAAAGACAATAAATACCCGCCCAGATTTCAGTGTAGAATTACTCCACGAGAGATAAGTATATGAGCATAAATATATTAATATTTCTGTTTTCTAAGGTAGTGCATGGCCAAGAAAAGGAAAAGTGAATCAAGTGACCTAGCCCTCTATTTCCAGCTAAACCACCAGTAGTGCGATCTACATCATGCTACCTCAACTTCTCTGGGCTCTATTTTCCTTACCTGCCAGACTGGGATAACATGTACCCCATTCCTCAAAGGAATGCTGTGAGGATTGAGTCAGATAACATCTATAAGCTCCATGGACAAATGTGCTACATACATGCATACATGGTAACTAGGTCATAAATTTTAGGAGGCATCCAATCACCAATATTTCTGTGATTGGGGGAAAAACAAGGGATGGAAATTTACTAGATTTTTAATTTTTCAGTCTGAAACTAGTTTCATAATTTTTCTTTCCCAAACATCTCAAGCATTCTCAAGCTACAGGTAGAAGTCCTTCTCTACGACATGTTCTACATGCCATAACAACTGTATTTCATATCAGAATCTGCTATCTTATTGTTCAACCATATTTAAAATTATTTAAAACATTTCTTTTCATAATAAATGCATGCACTTTTTATTTATTTTTTGGTTTGCTGATTTTGAGGAGGACTTCGCAGTGACTCCTAGGTACATACATTTTTCTTCTTAGAAGATACGGTCAGTGTGTCCCCATCAGAAGGTTCTGTATTACAGGAAACTTTCTGTACCATGGGGACAGGCCTGTGCTTATGTAACTGTGCTGTTTCACTCTAGTCCCCTGTAATCAATGCCATGGATTCCAAAACAACTGTCTGAGGTTATGACTGCAATTTGTGGCCATAGAAGGGATGACCGTAGGTTGAGATGAAACCTCATAGACATTGTGCTTTGCCAATAGCACTGACCAGTCCAAGGTAAATACAGAAAAGAGTATTCCACAGGAAATGGTTTAGAGATATTGGGCACATGCAGACCTGAAGCAGAAATAGAGATAGTGAAACTAAGGGCATATCCAGCAAAACCACTAAGTAAAGCCCGCTCCCAACATCGATAAAAGCCAACAACTTCTAAGGCCAACCCAAAGGATTCACAAGTCAATATGGGGAACTGAAAACCAATATATACATTAATAATCTCTCTCCTTGAAACCAGCCTAACTATAGCATATTAGGAGCAACCAAGTGAGAAGCTGAGTGCAATACTCACGTCAGTATTAAAACGACTTATGTAGTGCTCAGGGTATTTGTCATACTCTACAGGATCATACACACCACCTGTTTTCCTGACAAGATGATGATGGCGACTTAACACCGTCCCATACACTTTTCTCAGGTCTTGGAGAGGAGAAAGAAATTAGTAAAGTAGGTGATAAATGATAAAGATTTATGGTGATAAAGTATTATAACACAGAAACTGTTAAAAACAGTAAAAGATACATACAGTCATTCCCCTCCCCCTTACCTCCATTTTGGGAAACTTCTTTTAATTCATGTGGTTCCACATATTCACAAGGCAACTCATTGAAGATTTCCTGGGCTCCCTGTAAATAATGCATGAGTAAAAATCTAAAAATCAATAGGAAAGAAGCCAACATGTTTTCCTGCAAAGATTCCAATTCTCTTTCCCCACAATTATTAGCTCCATTTGTCCTGCCCAGAGACGAAGTGTGCAACACAGAAGTACAGATAAGCTTCTCTCACACAGTCTACACACCAACTTTTATTCCAGTAGGAACAGCATCCATTGGAAGGAGCTTTCATTTCTTTTTTTTTTTTTAATAAAGTTACTCAGAGTAGACACAAAGGTGTTTAAAAATGAGGGCATAATAAAATATTTCTATTTACTTTTTGCTTCATTGCAGAATTATTTCAAGTGACAAAACTGTATTTCCTATGAAAAAAAGTAGATGCTTATCTCACAGTATAATACAAAGAGTGATGTCCTATTTGTAACATGTTTTCATTGAGAGAAGATCCCTGAGGGATCACAATCACCTTCTCAAAACCATCCCAGAAGGAAGAAAAAGTATGAGTTCTGATCCTGTATTAAGCTTCCTAAAATCTTCTTGGCGAAACTTCAAATCATTTTTAAAAATTTACATCCCATGCTCACTTCCAAACTTTTGGCTATCTCAGTGATGAAGGTAAAAGAGACCACCTTAAGAACCGATCTATGTATCATTAACAATGGTTTATCTCTTTAGAAAGAAAAAGTGTTCAAATACTGTGACAGGCTGGAGTCAAACGACAGCAAAGAAAGTTAAGTTTGGAACATTACTGCTCTATGCTGGGGAAAGGTTACCGAGGTAAGAAAAGCACCATAAATAGAAGGCCTACTCATCCAGAAGCAAGGCTCTGAGATGACCAAAAATGTTCACATTCCTTGGGCTAGTTTCAGAGTTTGGGCTGCTTTACAGAAAGACTTCCTTAGAGACATCTAAGAAGTTACCTTAGATACATTACCAGTCCCTGTGAACACAAATGTTAAAGGCCCTATCGACTTTGGCATCAAACCCAGAGATATTTCATAGCCAGCGTCGCGGACAGCTTGCACGGCCTGGCTGCTGTTCCTGTAGTTATGGGCCATGCCGACGTGCTGCAAGTAGGCACACAGGAGTTCACATCAGTCGACCGCCGGAGACATTGTCCTGATACACAGTTTCCAAAAAATGAACAAAAGACACATCTCACCATAAACGGTGTGTGATGTCCCAAAGCGAGGAGCCTTAGCCCCATTCCATGTAAAATGTTGATCATCCCTATTGCAGAATCAGACCAACAGAAAAGCCATCAGTCAGGGGTTGAAGCTGCTCTCCCTCTCTCTCCAACCGGCTCGGTGCTCTGATGAAGCACAGACCACGGCATCTTGGATTTGGAAGGGGCCCCAGTGGTCACCTTATCCATCCCCTCCATTTTCTGCCATCGAGAGCACTACTCAGCAGCATCCCTATCTAATCCCTTCCACTTTCAACCCTGGCAAATGAAAAGTGTCCTTCTTCTTTTCTAAGGTTGTTCTCTCTACCTTTGCTCCAAATCCCATCCCTTCCCATTCCTTCTCTAAGGAATTCACTTTTGAAATTATTCCTTTCACTGTCCTTCCTTATTGGTTCACTGTTTCTTTTTAAATTAGCATATACTGTATTATTTGTTTCAGGGGTACAGGTCTGTGATTCATCAGTCCTACACAATTCACAGTGCTCACCACAGTACATACCTTCCCCAGTGTCCATCCCCCAGTCACCCCATCCCTCCCAACCCCCCTCCCCTCCAGCAACCTTCAGTTTGTTTCCTGAGATTAAGAGTCTCTTATAGTTTGTCTCCCTCTCTGGTTTCATCTTGTTTCATTTTTCCCTCCTTCCACTATGATCCTCTGTCTTGTTTCTCAAATTCTTCATATCAGTGAGATCATATGCTTGTCTTTCTCTGATTGAGTTATTTCGCTTAGCACAATATACTGGCTCACTCTTATCAACATTTAAAGACAGATTCCTCTCAAACCAAAACTAATGAACAAACAAATACAATGTCAGCACTGACCTTATGACTGCCATTGAAAATTTTAGTTATCTAAATAGCTAAACTCAGGGAACAACTGTCAGATCTTGACTTACCTGTCAGTGGTATTTGGCAACTTGGAACCCTCGCTTCCCCAAGCATCCCTAACTTGAAAATTTTCATCCCACATTTCTATAGGTGCCTCTTCCCATGCCCATTTCTTTTTGTGTCCTCTGCCCTTTCCTTAAGGTCCTTTTTTAAAATTAGCTGGCCTCAAGATTCTGTCCAGGGACCTACTCTCTTCAATCTCTATATTTTTTTTCCTTAGCTAATTTTATCCAGTCCTAAATTTCAAGTATTCTGTACACACTGATGACCCCAAGTCTGTATCTCTAACACAGGTTATTTTATTTCAAGACCTGATCAATTATCTTACAGATTTCTCAGTTTGGACTCAAATAGTGAAAACTCAGCATACCCACAGCAAAGACCTCAGCATCCATTCTCCTCTTTTTCTTTTTAGGAACAGAACTTTCCTTCTCTGTATCCCTTCCAAATGTTCTTTGATCTTTTTTCTGAAGTCAACTTTTAAAAGAGTAATTTATATTCAATAAAATGCACCAATTTAAAGTGCATCGTTTGATAACCGTGAACATATGTATGCACCCGTATTACCACCAACATAATTGAGATATAGAATATTTCCATCACCTCAGTCAATACTCCCCAGCTCTTTGCCCCAGAAAGGTACTGGTTTTACTTCTCTCTGTAGAGAGTAGTTAATTTTACAGTTTCATATTAGTGAAATTATTCGTATATACTTTGTATGTCTGCTTTCACTCAGCATGTTTTTGAGATTCACACATAATTCAGTGAAGTTTCAGTATTTATTCAGTAGTTTACTTCTTTTTATTGACAAGGAGCTTCCATTTTATGGGTATATCACATCTTATTTATCCATTCTCCTGCTGATAGACATTTGGATTATTTTTACACTATTAGAATGAAGAAATAAGTCTTTGTAAAAAAAAGTAATTCATTTTTCTTGATAAAAGCCTATGAGTAGAATTTCTTATGTACATTGATATTCAAGTTTTTTATTTCTTCTTGAGTTGGTTTTGGTCATTTTCGTCTTTCAAGGATTTGTCTATTTGATCAACACTGTCAAATTTATTAGCCTATTCATAATATTTTCTTTCCCTTTTAGTGTCTATATGAAATATAGTGATGACCTCTCTTGTATTCCTAATATTGGTAAATTGTGCCTTCTCTATTTTTCTAATCAGCCTAACTGGAGGTCTATCAATTTTAGTGATTTGCTTAAGAAGAAAAAAAAATTGCTTCTGATTTCATTGATTTTCCCTCTTATCTTTATTATTCTTTTTCTTGTATTTGCTTTGGGTTTAATTACTTCTTCATTTTCTTGCTTCATAAGATGGAAGTTCAGATCACTAATTTGGACTTTCTTCATTTCTAATAAAAGCATTAAGTGTTATAAATTTCCTCCCAAGCACCACCTTATCTGCACCCCATAAATTCTGGTATGCTGTTTTAAATTTTCATTGAATTCAAAGTATTTACTTATTTTTCCTGTGATTCCTTCTTGACTCATCGGTTATTAAAAAATACATTGTTTACCTTCCAAATATCTGGAAATTTTCTAGATACCTTTCTATTATTATTTCAACATCAACTTTATTATAGTCAGAGCACATACTCTATGATTTAAAACATTTTATGTTTATTAAGAACTGTTTTGTTCTTATGGGCCATCTGGGTGAGTGCTCAAGAACCCTCAATTATATCAGAGTAGCTGATGGTGTTTTACTGTTCTATATTTCCACCAATTTTTTACTTGTTCTAACAATTACAGACCTTCTAGTTCTAATCTGATGTAGAGTTATAACATGAAGTGATGTTTCCTCAACTAAAGAAGGCTCAAAGTACTAAGTGGGCCAAAAGTCAAGTGGACTTTCCCCCCAATTCCAATTCTTATCCTTGCTTCTCTTGGTTCCTGCCCCTCTATCTTTTCCCTCTCTTTTCCCCCTTTTCTTCTCCTCCACAACTTCTCATCACCAAACTGACTTCTCCTAGTCTTCCAGATAGAGCTACCTTAAAAGTCAGATCCTATTCATAGTTGTTCTCCTTTTCCCTGCTTTTTCTTTTTAACTTTTGTAATAAGGATATGTAATGATTTACTTTTTTATTCCCCTAATATTCATCACCCTAAGCTGTATCCCTATGTTTATTTTTTTTTCTTTTAAAGATCTTACTTACTTATTTGACAGAGAGAGATCACAAGTAGGCAGAGAGTCAGGCAGAGAGAGAGGGGGAAGCAGGCTCCCCGCCAAGCAGAGAGCCCGATGCAGGATTCGATCCCAGGACCCTGAGATCATGACCTGAGCTGAAGGCAGAGGCTTAACCCACTGAGCCACCCAGGCGCCCTCCCCCTGTTTATTTTTATTGGTGGAAATGAACACTTCCCTGCTCTAGCCACAGAAAAAAAGAAAACACAGTTACTTCCCAGGTAAATTTAAAAAGTGGGTGGTGTAAAAACCCTGGCATACCTACCTGCCACACCTGCCCACTGTCCAAACGCCACTACCCGTGTTCCTCTATGATCCACCATTTTCTCATAATCAATAAGTCGGATTTCCTGAAGAAAGGATAAAAAATTTTCACCCAGACCAACTAAGCTTAATCTCAATGAGTAAAGCATATATATGAGCAAATAAATATATCACATTTCTTCCTCTTATAAAATATATCTTGACTTTGTAAGTTACCATCAGGTGCCCCATGAAATATCCAGAAAATGCTGGGTCACAAACCACTGATAGGTCTGTGATTAGAGATGGTCCTAGTAGGGTGATAAATGCCCCCTGAATGTGGTCAATAAAATTGGAAAGGCATGATTTCCTTTAACTTTTAGGCCAGCACGATCTATGTATCTATCTACAGTCCATTCATCCCACATCCTTCCTTCTAGTCTCAAAGAAAACAAGTCCCCCCCAAGGCTAATCCCTGTGAACTGGATCCCAGCTTTTCCCCATGTCTTCCAAGACCACGCTTGGAACTTTTCCTTTCCTGCATTACCCCTTTGTACACTGCTCCTTCCTACCTTAAAAATGACAACACCCCCTTCTCAAGTCCATACACACAAATCTCATTTTCTCTCTCCCTTCCCCCTTCCCTCTTTTTTCTCTCTCCATCCTTTTACAAGTAATCTTCATTTACAAAGTAGTACATGCCACCTGCTTTTCATTTTCTCACCTTCACTGAAACCACATTCTTCTGTCTTTGGGAATCTTCCCTCTCAGCAATGTCTTATTAACTCACACTTAAAAGCTACTGATATACTGTAATTATAGAATGTCTTAAATAGTCACTTTATGTCCTCAAAGAGCGTATGATTTTTACCATGTGCCTGAATATAAGAATATTTACTATTCATCCAACCCTAAGTAACTGGTTACAAAATATTGCCAAAAAGCAGTTCTGTTTTTGTTCAGTTCTCTTGTAACAAACAAAAGTTCATGTAACAAAAAAGAAAATCCTTCCTAAGTACTTTTATTTATTTATTTATTTAAAAACTTTATTTATTTATTTGATGGATAGAGATCACAAGTAGGCAGAGAGGCAGGCAGGGACAGGGGTGGGGTGGGGAGCAGGCTCCCTGCTGAGTAGAGAGCCCAATGCGGGGCTCAATCCAGGACCCTGAGATCCTGACCTGAGCTGAAAGCAGAGGCTCAACCCACTGAGCCACCCAGGCGCCCCTCCTAAGTACTTTTAAAGGAGTTTATCTGCTTAAGGTGAAACCTTTTTCTTGTAGCATTATTTACATTAATTACTTTTCAAATTTGTTTTTCAAAACCACTGGGAATTCACTAGCAGAGGTCTTGTAAATTTGAAATGATAGAATATATTCTATAGGCCCATACAGAACACAATTTCCTCCCTTCCTTTTACAGTTTGTGAGGTCTCCTGTCCTCTGCCTATCCTTAGATTCTAGTCTAGTTTCTAATGCTCTAGTCTAGCATTCTTACCCTAGGGCTTGGACCTTGGACTTCTCTATCTACACTTACTGCCTACCCTCATCAAGTCTCCCAGTCTTAGATGCCATCAAGTCTCTAACAACTACAAATATGTATCAAGAGGAGTCGCCTGGAGCTACAAACTCATTATCAATGGCTCCCTCTTTAAAATCTAATGTCTAAAGTCTGAAATCTGCTAGGATGTCTAATGGACAAATTAAACTCAGCAGGCCCTAAACTCGACTCCTGACTCCTGATCGTCCCAACCAAGCCTGCTCCGTCTTGCAGTACCATCATCTCAGTCTGTGGCCACTCCTTCAAATTGCCCAAGCGAAGACCTTGGACTCCTCTCATTTGCTCTTTCTCTCATATTCCACATTTGTTTCACCCGTAACTTCTGCAGGATCTGACCTCTAAAATACAGCCAGTATTGGGTCTGTGTATCACCACCTCTACTTCCACACTTCCACTCCCTTGTGCAAGCCACTGTCATTTGGAACCTGGTATCCATACTAGTCTAGACTAACAATCTTACCAATTTTCTCCTCCCATCTCCAATATTATCCACACAGCAGGCTGAATAAGCACTTTAGAACATGATTTACTAACCCTCCACTCAGCCAGACCCACAGGACCTTGCACTAGTATGCTCTCCGCTTGGAAAACTCTTACCTGACAGATATGACTTGATCCTTCACATCCTTCGAATTTCTGCTCAATGCCAAATTTGCAGTGAGCCTCTCCCCAATCGTCCTATTTAAACTCTTGTCCACCCACAGTGCCCAAAACTCCCTTTTTCCTTCTGTATCATATTTATGTCCATCACACATATCTCTAAGTGACAGATGAGATATCTTATTTATATATTTATCATCTGTCTCCTCCCACTAGAATGTAAACTCTGTGAAGATAGAGTTACTTTATTGCCACTGCAGTGAAGAGGGTCAGTCACAATGCAGACACTAAGTATTTGTTGAATGAATACTTTAGAGTTTTTGTATAGTACTTACATCTCAAAACATGATTTCTTCCTTCATGAATGATAATAAATGTAAAAATAATTCCCAGTCCAGTTCTGGCACTACAGAGCTATGCAACCTCAGTCTAGTCACTTCACCTCTCTGGGCTCCATCTGAGAAATGAGGGAAGTGGATTATATGATCCCCGAAGCTCTTTTCAGCTCTCAATTCTACTTGGTGATATCTGACCAATTGGCATTATAAAATGCTAATCGTTTGGGGGGAACACTTTTATCATTTTTTTCTATTTCAGTACAAAAGGAATGAAATGTTTGGTTTCTCTTATTAAATTCCAAACATGCACAGCAGAGAAGCCCTAAGAGCAGCAGAACTATTCAAGCACTAATTCACAGATCACCTTTCCTACTGAGGTGAATAACATGATGTATTTCCTACATGCTGAAAGGAAACTAAAACTCCACTTGACATTTAAAGATAGAAAGAAATACTGTTTCTATGTTAACATTTATGATTACTGGTCACTAATTACCTGTCTCAGAATCTCATCCAGCAAGCCCATATTGGCCTCCTGAGCCTTTATTGTGTGGGAGAAGAATGCATAAGTCTTCTTAGACATTAATTTTTCCTCTGGGGGTCTTTTAACTCCCAAAATTAGACAAGCTTCAGAAATATCCTCCTGAAGAATGCCACCAGCTTTGACATATTCCTGGGAATGCAATTTTGGTTAAAAGTTATTTCCCTAATTTGTTGTATTCTTATTTTCTTTAATAAATAAGTGTAGCAATTAAAGGCACAATCTTTTGAAGGCATAAAATCTGTATGGATCAGAACAAATAGAATAGCTACTTCTAGTATTTTTACTTTCTTGCTGAAGATCAATTTAACAAGTTTGACTTTTATAGCAAAAAAAAAATTAGAAAATTCACCACCTACTCCTATTTAAGAGCAGTGAATAGTATGTTGTAACTACTAGCACATATGATTTTAAAATATTTGTGAAATGTATATTTTGTATCAACAATGCACTGAAATGTTAAATGCGAAATAGTAATTTATTACTCAGGTGTATTTTTAAAAGAAAGATATATATCTGCAATATTTACTTTTTTCTTTTCTTCTTTTCTTCTTTTTATTTTTTTTTTTTGGTTCAATTAGTATTTATTACTGCCCCACTCCATCCAGCAGACTGTGCTAGAGATGAGACGGTAAGATACACTAAAAAGGCAGACAACATCCTTCCTATAAAGAAGCTCATAAAATACAGTAAAAAGAAGTCAGAAGCATAGTAAATGAGGCTGAATTCAAAAGAATTATGAACAGCAGAATCTAAGTGATACATTAGTTTAATGGATACTGAGATCTAATTCCTGGGTGAGATTATCAAGGAAATATGAAACTTTAAAGTAATCTAAAAGGCTAGGTAGGATTTGGAGAGATGGAGATGGGAGATGCAAGGTGGTAGTATCAGTAGAAAGAATTGAAGAAATATATACAAATATGGAGGCAGGGAAGTAAGGAGATGTTTAGGGCATAAGGGATAAGTCAATTTGGAAAAGAAGACTATTACGGTGAATATGATCTTTACTGGATAAAAAATAAAAATCATCATTGACATTTATTAATAAATTAGTACTTGCTTTACTAAGCTCTTTTCAGGAATTATCTCATATAATTTTCCTAAAACTCCCATGAGGTAGGTATTATTATTATGGTCATTTAATCAATGGGAAACTTGAGGTTTACACATTTAACTGAGTTTGAGTAGCTAGTACATGGAGGCAACAGAAGTCATTTCAGACTTTTAAGTAAAGGGTTAGCACGATCCAGGCAGAATCAAAAGAGCATCAAAAGTGGCAGCTGAATAAAAGGAAGATGAATCCAGTTAGGAATCTACTTTAAAGGAAACTACAGATGGACAGATACTATAAGAGTGAACATGATTCATACCTGGTTTCTTTGAAAACAATCTATTTGTCCATTTGTAGTAGACTGGTTAAATAAATCACAAATCATGGAGTAATTACGGCATTAAAACACAGCCATTAAATAGAATGAAGCAGATCTCCATGAACAGACAAGGAGTGAGTTCCAGGATATCTCACTGACTAAACAAACAAGGCAAGATAGAGTATGTATAGTTTACAACCTTCTATGTAAGACTAAGGGGGAAACTGAGAAAACACACACACACACACACACACACACACAGGCTCATTTTTACAGAAAGAAACGTAGGAATCATAGATCAGAAACTAATGACAATAGTAAACTATGGAGAGGGTAGGAACAGGATGTAAGGGATTAAGATAAGAAGACTTTCTACATTGCATCATTTTATATAGTTCAAACATCTGAAACTTGTAAATGTTTCACTTATCTTAAAAACATAATTAAATCAAAAAGGATTTAAAAGCAACCTTGAAAATGTACAGAAAAAAATACATAAATCCAACTGTATATCACATTGACAATATAACTATATGGAAAGAATAACTCAAATAACTTGAATACAGCAATCTGAATATTCTTTGTGAGATATATTCTAAAAGCAGAAACACTTTTTTTACTCAAAAAATACTAAACTCCATTTAATAGCTTTATTTTTTATTGAGGTATAATTGACATACATTATATAGTTTCACATATACAACATAATAATCGATATTTGTATGTATTGCAAAATGATCGCCAAAATAAATCTAGTTAACATCTGTCACCATGCACAGTTGCATAAGAACTTTTAAGATCTACTCTCTTAACATTTATAGGTTTATTGTTAGTTATAATAATAGTTATCATGATTCCAAAACTATTTTATGTATAATACAAGATAAAACAAAAAGCATGCCTTAATATTATAAAGAATTAAAATTTTCACTACTGGAGAAAATAGATGTAAATATAAAATTTTAAAGGTAAGAAAAACCTGCAATGTTAAAAATTTTAGTTGGAAATATCCGTATTGATTCATGATGAAGTAATATGAAGTAATATATATGTATATGTATGTGTAATCTTATTTCTTAGCTCTATTCACTAAAAGTGCTAAGAGCAACAATATCTCAGTAAAAATAAGCATACTTAACACCGGATATCAGATATTGGTTTCTATATACTAAAAGAAATCAGAGCTCCCTGGTGAGATAGATGGCTAATCCTAGGTGCACAAGGTAAGACTAAGACCATTTGTTGGTGCAGGAAACAAGAAAGCAGAAAGATCAAGTGCTCCAAAGGACAGAGGAGCACCCTTAAAGGAACCCTCTATCTCGAATTTGGGGTAACTGGGACATTAAAAAAAGTGGTTAATAGATTATCATACATTAAATGAAAAAGGTCCATGCAGCCATAATGATACTCAAAAGAGCAAGAAAGAAAAAAACTAAGGGCAATCTCTTTTCTGTAGAAGAAAATCAGCAAGTAAACTTAGAAGAATGATAAGGTCAGAAAATCATCACTTTGCAAGCTTCCATGTAAAAAAATGATTCAGGAAAGATCATCAACGTATCCTAACATCTTTAGCAAAAGGTAGCTGAGAAACAAACACAAGATTCACAGGTCTCAAAACATCACTCCGCAGAAGACTCAGTAATTACAAACAGAAAAAGGTATGTAGAAAATGGAGAGACCTGGTGGCAACTACCTCAGCCAAGTGACCACAAATTCCTAACCTTGGGACAACCTGGTATTTTGTGTCTGATGTGATAGAGTGGAAAGAACACGCACCACCTAGATAATATTTGTATCAGAAGTGTTTTAGCCTGAATATAATCGCCAGTAACACCCAGAAGCAGACCATTCTCCAAATCAACTAGTCTGGACTCTTCAAAAAGAGTCAATGTCTTAGAAACAAACAAATCAAAAGGGCGTGCAGATCTAAATTAAAAGAACTAAAGAGACATAACAATAAATGCAATGAACCTTAATTAAGCCTCAATTAAAATAAAAGACCATAAAGACATTTGAGAGAATGGGGAATTTGAAATGGGCTATGTGAGATGATATTATGGAATTACTATTTTTTTAGGTCTGATGGTTATGCAGGAGAATGATTTATTCCCAGGAAATGTAGTAATGTCTTAGTGGCCTTAGTCTCCCCAGTCCCAGAACCAGGGCTGCACATGGACATAATGACTAAAGGACATCACCCCCTTCTAAAGGCAATTCCTCCATCTCTCACCTGGAGAAAGCATGGAATAGGGTGGAAAAAAAAATACTTAACTGATTAAATTCTGGACTCAAGTAAAAATTCTAACTAGAAGTCTCATTATAATCAAAACAAAGGAATATCATCATGTGGTGTTTAAGTACATTGGCGAACATTTCATTTTTATTCAGATGTTCCTTGATTTCATAAACATTGCATTTTTACTCAGATGCTCCTTGATTTTCATTTTATTCCCACATATTTAAAAAATAAGAAATATTTACCTTGTCATGAATGGCTCGCCTATTGGAAGGCTGTATTAGGACTTTGTATCCCAGGTTGGTGATCCCTTTGATGTGCCGGGGAGCCAGAGGCGCCCTCCTCTCCCAGGCATTCACATCCTCCCTCCTCAGGGCCATCACCGCTTTGTGGTGAAGCCCTTTGGAGAAGCTGAGCCCCAGCCTGCCCAGTTTGGTCCTTTGTACTCGCAGCATCTTAAAACCTGCTGACTGTAAAGACATCGTAAGAGAACAGGACAACAAAGGCAGGAGGGTTCACAGATCATTTCTGGTCTCCTGAGAAATCTGCTGTAAAATCCAACCAACTCAGATATAACAGACACAAGATAGAGAAAAGGGGAGGGAAACCTTGGATGACGTGAAGTGCTCCTTTACCCAACAAACCCAAATTTCCACAAATGAGGTTATTTCCAAACTAAAAAAAGTACTGAGCAAATTATAGGACACTAGCCAATATTTGCCAAACCAAAAGAGTTTTTGAAATATGTTTCATCAAACATGTATTCAGCACAAAAATTGTAAGCATGTTAACCTATGATGCAAATACAAAAAGATAATTTATGCCAATTTTGATGGCACAAAGGCTGGAATCCTTTAATCGTGTGCAAGCTTCTTGACAATCCAGCTCCAACTTCTTTGGAGTTTCATCTCAGACCATTCCCTAAACTGGTGCTACTCAAAGTGTGTCTGGCAGCCTGTTGGCAGTCGGTGACCTGCTCTTTACGGGTCCTGGATGAGCAATGCACAGAAATAGAAAGGACGTTCTTGGAAACCTCTATATCACATGACCATTTTTCTAGTAATTCAATGTTACTGAATTTTAGAAAAGTATTGGTCCTGGCAGATTGGAAATTTAAGAAAACCAAACAAACATGCTTTTCCATGACAGGTGTTGAAAGGTTAAGAAGCACTGTGCTAACCACCCCCCCCACCTTTTGTTGTTATAAACATGCTGTTCCCCTTTTCAGGGTTTCCTCTCCATACCACTTCCGCCTGCTATTATATTAAGCCCAGACCTGCCTCAACCAGTTTTCTGCTACTCCAGATTGCATAATGCCACTCATTTATTCAATCAAGAAACTGAATAAACAAGAGGCTTACTATGTGCCAGCACAGAGTCAATTTTATATAGATTGTTAAAGCATAAATATCAAACAATAGTCTGTCCCTCTTCAAATGGTTACATACACTTGGCAATTTCAGAGGATAATCTGCTGGATCATTTCAATGCTAAGTCTTAGTTTTTTATGTTTAAGGTTGGCATCAAAATACAGGAATTGAGGGGCACCTGGGTGGCTCAGTGGGTTAAAGCCTCTGCCTTCGGCTCAGGTCATGATCTCAGGGTCCTGGGATCGAGCCCTGCACTGGGCTCTCTGCTCAGCAGGGAGCCTGCTTCCCCCTCTCTCTCTGCCTGCCTCTCTGCCTACTTGTGGCCTCTCTGCCTACTTGTGATCTCTCTCTCTGTCAAATAAATAAATAAAATCTTAAAAAAAAAATACAGGAATTGAATTTCACGCTTTCTAGAAATTTCCTACCAATCACTGCTAACATACATCAAAATTCTTATGAACACATTTCTGTTACATCAGATTGCAATCGCTACACCAGACCCACTTTACAGATGGGGAAGTTCTGTCTAAACAGCGGCATATACAAGTGGATTTTCTGGGAGCAACTACTTGCCATTTGAGATAGAAAATTTATAGGTCAAGTCACAACACAACAGACTAAAAGAACAAAGCAAACTCAAGGAGATCAGCTAAGAAGACTTTAGAAAGAAAAGGGACAGTAAGAAAAATAATGCACACAGCAAGCAAACACGCTGATAAAAAAGCAGCTCAGGCTCTTTCACTTGGCTAAAATACTGATGAGCAATATTTTGGTAAAAGACTGCTATATATGCTATCTGATTTTTGGGTTTTTTATACAGCTTTGTTTTTAAAATTCTTCTTTTTTTGAGAGAGAGAGAAAGAGAGAGAGCATGTGTGAGCAGAGGGGAGGGGCAGAGGGAGAGACAGAATGCCAAGCAGCCTCCATACTCAGCACAGAGCTCAACGCGGCTTTATCTCACTACCCTGAGATCATGACTTAGGCAGAAATCAAGAGTCGGAGGCTCAACCAAAAGAGCCACCCACGTGCCCTTATACAGTTTTGTTTTTAAAAGAGATTATATCAGGCCCAAACTCAAGCCCAAGTCCATAGCACTCATTCTTCCCTAAACCAGAGGAAAAACTGCAACAATACCATAGGACTTAAATCCCAATGGTTCTTAAATAAAACCAATTCCAAAGACAAGTGAGTTTTGTTTTGTTTTTAACACACAGATGAGCCTAGAAATGGTCCCATCTTTCCCACAGGACTCTATTTCACATACCATAGGTGACCAAATGACCCTGCATCCTCTATTCTTAGCAGCAATTCTTGGAGCCAGTATGAGGGAACACGTTCAGATAATTTAGTATCTCTCCTCTGCCCAAACTTGATTTACAAGCACTGCCTCACCTCCCCCAGTGACCATCATCTCACCTCTTCCTCCCTACCTCCCTTGTCCGGGATAGGGAATATGGTGTGGGGACACAGACACATATACACAAATAATACACACATATATATTTGCAAAGGCAGACTTTCTTTTTTTTTTTTTTTAAGATTATTCATTTAAGAGAGAGAAAGAAAGACAGGGAGGGCACAGCAGGGGGAAGAGGCAGAGGGAGAAGAAGACTATCTTCTCAGCTGGGGACTCATCCCAAGACCTGGAGATCATAACCTGAGCCGAAGGCAGCTGCTTCACCACCTCAACCACCCAGGCACCTGGCAAAGGCAAACTTTCTGTGGAGACTAGAAAAGAAGCGTAGCAGGGAGTAGATCCTCTCGTTTCTTTGGGAAGCTGCTTTCACTTTCACTTTTTGTAGGGAATTCTCAAATCATAATTCTAACTTTGTTTTTAAATAAACATAACAATAGACACCTAAACACTATGCTAAACACTATGCTGCACACTTTCCAGACATTATTTCATTTCCTCCTTGCAAAAATCTTAATAAGTAGATACTATTATTATTTTCATTTTACAGGTGAAAAAACTTAACTGGAATCTGCCTAGAGCTGCTGCTTCTAAGCAGAAGCAGGATTCCTGGGTTAATATTTAACACTCAGGATTTTTCTCTTCGCCAAAGCCTACAGACCCACACCATGTAGATCTGATGTATGTTAACTGCCACCAGCTCGTTTCTGAAATAAATTAGATTCATATGGCCTCGACTTTAGTAGAGTAAGTGATCAGTTCTCTCCCCAGCATGGGGTGCTTCTACCGATCCCTTTCCTATGGGCCATGGAAAATCCTTCCTGAGTCATTGCCAAGGTAAATTCTAGGTTTCTGGGTACTTAGAACAAGAGATTTAATTGCATCAGGTATTACTGCATTAGTAATTGCTTGAACTTCGAAATTTGGTCTCAACATGGTAAATTTTCAGGCCCACAATTCATTTCATTCTAAGGTCATCAAGAAACTGCAGCAGTGAGGATTTCTTAACTGTTCTTAGAGCATGGCAGGTGTCTATTTCATGGAAATGTCTAGGTGGGCTGTGTTAGATTTCCCTGTCCTGAATTTTGTGGGCCTTTCCAAGAATATCAGGCAGTAAATGTGAGGTATATTTCTGGCAATGCTTTCAATGAAACAATGCACGACGATCCCTGGTTTACCTACTGGTTCTAGTGAGATCACTTGTCAGTACTAATGACAGTTTGTAGGATGAGCGAGGAGGAGGTGGGAAAGCAAGAAAAGGAGATGAAGAGACAAAGAAAGAGCTAGGGAAAATAAGGAGGAGGATCAGAAGAAGAGGAATAAAGGGTAGAAAGAGAAGTGTCACATAGCAGAGGGAAATAACTTCCCCTGCCAATTTCTAAACGGTCTGTTTCCTTCAACACATAAAAGGCCAATGTTCCAAATAGCATAAAAATTAAATTTAAAAGATTCTTCTCTATGTTTTGTAAACCAAGAACAGCACTAAGGTATATATTTTTTTAAGGTATGCATTTTTAATCAGGAATTTGAAATAACTCGAAAAAGTCATGAGAGTATTACAGTGAATTACACAGACATGCACTGAGATAGGAGGACAATGAGTGGATGGACTTAGCAATAGAACATCTCTATGATACCACCATACCGCTCTTCCCGTCTTTCAATGGGGGAAAGACTTAAGAACGTCTTTTAATTTACAAATTATCTATCTTTGCAATGTATACATGACAATGTGCCCCAGGGAGGACATCTTGAAATGTTCTTGGTATTTTCTAACCTTTTCAGAAGTGAAAAGAAAAATGGTCATTAGAGATAAAGATGATAGATAGATAGATAGAGCAAGCCCAGAATTCCATACATACCCCACCATTGTCTTTCAGTTACTATGAAATAAACTATGATCACTGATTGTATCACCATCCTAAATCACATGAAGGAAGCAAAGATTTTGTGAGATGTATTCGTAAAACATTATATCTAAGTAAAAGCTGCCTTCAAGAGCAGAAGCCACAGCTCCACCACCATGAGTCGTGACCCACAATACATATTTGGTTTCCAGATCATAATAATCCCAGAGGCCCAAAAGGGTTCCAAATTAACAGAACACCTGGTGATGGCCTAGAATAAATCCAAATGCCTCCCAACCCCAAGGCTTGCCAGAACAAGGCTTGGACACGCAGCAACACCGTCCTCCAGACTTTCACTTCCTGTTGCATAGGTACATTCTTTTAATGCTTCCATGTTAAATTCCTTATAAAACAGTTAACCATATGTTAAAAAGCAAACAAACAAAAAAACAGCAGACTTGGGGCAGGAGGAATCTACTAATATTAATTAATCTGGTCTAAGAATATTCATGTTTTCAAGCAGCTACTCAAAGTCATCCAAAGATCTCTAGAACCCATGACTCTTCTGGTCTTTAGCCCACAAATTTAGTATCATTGAGATGGAATGCAAAGTTAATTTTAAATTGGACTCTAATCCAAAAAGTTTACCTGCTTATTTGTCTTTTTGCTAAACTATAAATGTTTACTCTGTGACCTTGGTACATAACTGGGCCTGTTTGTGCCTCATCTGCAAAATGGATTCAGATTAGTATCTACCTCGGAGGGCTACTGTGAAGTTTATCTGAGCCAATATGCACAAAGTACTGAGTACTATCTTGCACACCATTAATGCTTAATAAATGTCAAGAAAAGAAGAAGGCTCCAAGCCTGCTTACTCCTTAAAGGTGAGCACAACCACACCACTAATAGAAAATACTACCTTCCCTTTCTCTTTGTCACAATGTAGTAAGACCTTCACAATGGCTCCACATTGATCCCCTCCCTCCTTCTTTTCATTTGTCAATGAAAACAAAATGGAGCCCAGTAAGCCCTCTCCTCAATTTCACCCTTCAGGCCTGGGTGTTCAAGATATATAACTTAGCATTTTAATACAGTATTTCATTAAACTTATGACACATTTTTCATATTTTAGCCCTAAAATAGGGATATATTTTATTATGGATGGTATCTTAGATTCAACGAAAACAGTACTGTTATTTCCCATGCCAAATGTACAGTTTCTTAATTCCATAGAATTTTGTGATCTCACCAAGAATACTTGCCACTGTATGCAATGTTATTTGTATAAGATAATTAATAAAGGAATATCTAGAAAACTTTTCTGTTAAAGGGGGACTGCATACATGCCAAAGGTCACTTCCAAAATCCTGAGCTGTTAAGGTCTGTTAAGGCTTAAAAGCTTGGGAGTGGGGGAGGAGGCGGGTAAGAGGGTTCCACTGCAAATAAATCAAAGTAAAGTTCTGATAATGCTGACACCAGTAACAAGTGAGACTGAAAACAAATATGATTTTCTGGAGAGTGGTAAAATCACTAGGGAAAATTGACCTAAATCTTTGTCCTCTAACTCACTTTCAGAATGGCCACAAAGTTTATACTGCCAGAAGGTCATATACCCCTAGATTCACTCATCTATGGGGAAAAAGCAGAGAGGGAGTGCAAGTGACAAAATATACACGCAGAGACAGAGAGGCATCCATGCAAAGTGCTCCTGCTAACTTTTTATTTCTACCATAAAATATGTGAAAGTTACCCCCTGAGGAAATGATCCTTCAGTCCCCTGAGTAGCTACATGGGCATAATTATAGCCACAACTTCCCCACATTCTGATAAGTGATGACCCACAATATCAAAAAATGTTCACCTTTGTTC